GTTCGCCCAACTGCTTGCTGTTGTCAATTCCAGTGTTTTACATTGCAAGTCTCGCGGCCCACTGCGGCCTCTGCTGGCCTTTAGTGCGGCCCCCCGACACAATGCACAGCACGTGGCAACACCGCCCCAACAGCATCATCATCATCGTGCCGCTGTCAATCCCCGCAGTGGTTTCAAATGTGTGGCGGCACTCACACCGGTGATATCTTATAGGCGAAAGTGGGCCCCCTCCCCCTCTGAAGATGAGTGAATAAGGGGCCATTCATAAATGATGTCACGCGATTTTGGACGATTTTGGACCCCCCCCCCCCTCGTCACACGGCGTCACAAAAAGTCAGACAACCCACAAAGATGACGTCACAAAGCTCTGCCCCCCCCCCCCAAACCCATATTTCCATTTTGAAAATAAAACATGCTTCAAATCGCTTTCAACTATTGTCATTGTAGTGCTAATTTAATATGGCGCTGCACTCTGATGTTGTAGGAGAAAACATTTATTGAAAAGTCTATTTAATTAAGTAAAACGTGTTGTCTATATTTATTTAAAGTTGCGCATTTTGATGTGACGTCACATTTCTCACCCCCCCCCCTCTCGTCACACATCGTCACAAATGTCTGACCCCCCCCCCTAGGTGCGTGACGTCATTTATGGATGGCCCCAAACGTCGCTGTAAGTGGACATTCAAGGCGCTTGTCATTTAAGTAGCGGTCGGCGCATGTCCTTCCCCCCCGCACCTCTGACTAGCACGGTTGGCTACGTACGGTGAGAGAGAAGTTCAACAAAGACGAAGATCTCTCGTATAGCCCTTAACAAACTGTTGGGGCAAGTGTTGTTAGGGTGTTTGCACTTATGATGGTCGGCACGGTACACGAGGGGGGTGGGTGGCCAGCACCACGCCCGGCCGCCTTTATCTCCCCAGTGGCGATGTTTACCACACCGCACCAAGTGCTCATTTGAGGCTGAGTCGACCGAGGGGATGCCAAGGACCGGTTCAGATAATCGTCACTGGTTCTGGCCGTGAACGGGAATCGAACTTGGGTCGCCGGGTTCGTAGCGCAGAGCAGCAAACCGCCACACTGCGTGTATTTTGAAGTTACTGCATTCCTGTGCATACAATTAGACTGGAGTTTGATTTCAAATTAACCAGCTACAGTAATTAGTGGTAAAAATCGATTGTCGCTGCCTTAGGTTAATTGAGTAACGTCAAGGCGCTGACACATTTCTCTTTCAACTTTAATTAGATAATTGTCTCTCCACAAGTCTTACGAATTACTTCAAAGCGTGCCGGCATGTAGACAAATAGTTAAATATAGAAATTGCAAGGGGCTTCACACGAAAGTCTTATACGGGCACAAACTCGTTTTGTCAGGCAGAAGTCATCTTTGACTTGGTGTCTCACTGTGCCCCCTGCTGCTCAAATATCGGTCAGGCAATGTTATGATTCAATTAATTTGGTGACACTGCTACGGCTGCTGCTCCGTTGACAGTGGGTGCCCTCCACGCATGCACAACTAACAAAAACAAAGTCTACACATTCGTCAATACCAGCTGTGGCCGAAAAAAAATTTAAATTGTAAAATAGGCCACGTTTAGGGCAATGATTTTTCGTAGCAGATTTTTTGGTTATTTGATGTAGTGTTGTTGACGAACAGTGGCGGCTCCTGCAAAATCTCTCAGGGGGGGCAAATGTCTGGATGATTGATAAGGATAAGGTCCACCCATGCAATGAATAAATTAACAGCTTAAGCATGTAAAGGCAACTTCACTTCCTTAATATTAATGAAAAATAAAGTGACTCTTACAATACATCTTGTTTGTTTATATACTCACTATTAAAACAAACCACTCAAGTTTATTTTATTAAAGATTCCACTAGGTAGCGATAAATTATATTGTTGGATGAAACGTGCCTACGTATGATGACGTTAGCACGTATGATGACGTAAGCACGTTGGGGCTTGCCCTCCCAGAAGCCATAGAGAATGCATTGGAGCGCCCCCGTTCGAAAAAATAACATCTTTGAATGTAAGTCTATGGGGCCACTCGGGGCGATTCTCAGCCGTAGTGAAATCGCCCCAAAAGAGGCGGTACTCCACAGAACGTGACATGACGCTGATTGGACTATATCCAGAGGCTGACAGTGACGGCTAGCGTGACTGTGGTTGAATGACATTGGTGGTGCGTCGCCCAATCGCCCTAATGAAGAAACCGCCCCTGTTGACGAATGTGTTGCTAGATAAACGGGTAAAAAAACAATTATCATATTTTTTACTGGCAAATGAGGTACCAATGGTGGAATGTGTTGAGTTTAAAGTTACGTGTATACAATGACTAATGTCACAACATTTATATTAACATAACTGTTAAGGCAAAATACATGTCAATTAACTGGTGAATGAAGGCCTTCTCACGGCAAGTCGGTCACAGGGGGGTTGTTAGACCATACTTCACCACGTTCGCTAGTGCGGGTTTATGAATGAGAAGAAGAGCCCACGACTGGTTCAAATATCACATGGAATTGGCACAAACATCCAAATGTAGCAGGACCCCCCCCCCCGAAGAGTAGTCTTGGGATTCAGCGAGGCTCTCCTGGGTAAACCAATCAAAAGTTATTTATCCCTCAAATTAGCATTGAGGCGGCGGCGGTCTTTTGTTTACAGCAGTGGTGGAGCTTCTACTTTATAACGATCCGGGGTGAATCTATCCCAAGGACTACCAATCTTGACCTCCCCACAAACTGGTTACTCATTGTATCGACCCCGGAGGGACAAAAGGTTGAGTCAACAACCTCCCCCTCCACCCAACCAGGATTTGAACTCGCAACTTTCCGATGACGAGCCGCTCAGCCCACTGCTAAGCCACCTGACCGGTCCCCTCGGTAAATAAATGACATCACGATTACGATCGACAGGTGACCGTCATCACGCATTGGAATCCAACTGCGAGTCTTGAGTCACGCTGTCGGACTGGGAGTGCAGACGTAGAGATGCATCTATTCCGCGTGGCACACAGGGTGTGACCAAAGTCATTTGCGGATGTCAGATGTTCACCCCACCCTGCCCCGTGGGCCACTCCGCCCACCTCTGTAATCCCCCGGTGGAATCTTGACGTGTGCACACGGGGAAATGTAAATCCACTGCTGGATGAAAGTTTCCACGCGCCTTCCGTTCGTGGTCATTGGGGTTGTTGGACCAATGGCCCAAAACCCAGTAAACGTGGTACGTTGGGTCAACGTTGATCCAAAGGTTCCAACGGCATGCCAATGTTGGCCCAACGTTGCATACTCACTTTAAATGTGCCTAAAGAAGAACATATTCATCAGGGCATTTGGCGTGCTATAGACCTAATGGATCAGAAAACATAGACTAACTGGATACATAGGACAGTTGCTGAAGGCAAGCCGAGATTAAAATGAAATAGAGAGGCAGACGAAAGCAACTTGAAGTGCTTTCAAAATACATTTTATAATGAAAAACAACATGGAAATGCATCTAAAAAGGAAACAAAAGATTTGATTTATTAAATTATTACCTTCCACGACACGGATTGAAAATAAGGACCCTGACCAAAAAACAGGGAACAAAATATTGAAAGTGCACAGAGAATCGTCGAGAAAGGTATGCTGGGAGGTTGTGTGTTCGAAACCGACCCTAACACCTGTGCATTTGGAGTTTGCGTGTCTCTCTCCCCTTGGCCGCGTGGATTTTCCTCCGGGTCCTCCACTTTTTATCACCATATTTAGAATCGACATCACGCGTTGAGAGTATTTGGCCGCTGTAAATGTCCCGGTGATGAGCCACTTCGTTGAGCTATCATTAGTGGCAAGGTCGCTACTGAAAAAGGAGCTATATAGCTCAGTGGTGCCTTACCTGGTAAAATAAAATAAACATTGTTTAGCTTATAGTCTTACTCTGAGAGACAAAAAGCTTGGAGCTTTAAGGCGCTCTTCTTCCACCTCCAACCCAGCTTATATATAAGCTCCAAGCTTGGCAGTGTCTCATTCTTCACCTGAAGACGGCTGCTTGCGTTTTAGCCGAAACGTCGTGAGAATTATTTTATTATGTTTTATTTTTATCATTTTATTACTTCCCTTCTACGTGACTTTACCGAAAGAACCAAGAAGATGAATCCCTGCAGTCACGAAAGCTTTAAATCGAGATACATTTATATTGACAGCTCACCATGAGGGAGGATGGTGGATGGACGAGACTGGTAACGAGATGGCAGCCAAAGGAGGGAACACCCAAGAGGACGTCCACTGGCGAGATGGATCGATGAGATGAGCTCTCACGTACAGCAGCAAAATGGATTGTGGCATCACGTGATTCTTTAGGGGTTGGCAACGTGGGGATACTTGCATCCAGCATTGGATAGAACATGGTTAGCGATGATTATGATTGATAAATCACATATTACGACAATATATCTTTAATGTTTTCTTTCATTTGTAATTGCACTACGATCAGTCTAAACATAATCTGCCCGAGCCGACTTATGTTACAGATAATTTATTAGTTAACATTGATTTATTTTTCCGTAATATTTTTTATTTTTTATTGATACACAGTTGTTTCTGCGCTGATTTATTTTGCTTCCTTGCTGCATTTTATTTAGGGTTTTTTTTGGTAACCCATCAGCTCACTGTTGATGATGAGACTCAACCTTGCTCTCTCAAAATCTAAACATGGTTAAACTTTATCTGGTTGTTATTTGCACTCACATCATGTGTTTGCATTATTTATTGTTGTAACGTTCTTACCCGTCGCCTACCGGACATTTGTGAAAAGGAGCTTTATAGCTAATCGGATTCTTCCAATATAAATAAATATTCTGATTCTGAAACCAGTATTTGATGAGATGATTGACAGCTGTCACGTAGCCGAGTCCCCCCCGCTCTACCCTGAAGAAGGAGGGGCTGGTGGGGGGGGCGGTAGTTTTGATGACATCACTGCCATACCGCCTTCCCATTGGTCGAGGCGTGGCCACGCTAACTTGAATGGGGCAGCAGCAGACGCGGCTTGTGGCCGCCGCGTCCCAGCGTCGTCTGCGCGCTCTCGCCTCCTCTGCGTCCTGGGTGAGTCCGCGGCGTCCGAGATTCTCTCGCTCGCTCCCTCTCTCTCTCTGTGCCGTCGAAGAGCCACCAGGTAGCGCGTGGGCTCTCTTCCGTTGTGTTTATTTAACAACAAAAATATGGTGTTGCTGCGTTCAGGATTATTGCCTTCCCCCCCACCCCACCGGTGTCGACTATATGGTCAGGCCGGTCATCGGTGCGGCTTGGTCGGTTGGTGACACTAGTTGAGATCGGTGTAGGCCGCATCTACGGGGTGTTGTTATCGAGTCGGTTGTAGAATTTGCAATTAATACAATGCGATTTAACGTTTTTTAAAATATATATCGCGAGAGATGGCGACTGATTGGAGATGCCTTCATCCAGCAGCGGATTAGCGATGGCTGATGATGATGATGGTGGTGGTGACGATTTAATGTGTAAAGTGTTGAGGCGACTGATTGTGTTGTGCGATTCGCGTACTCACTGCAGGTGTCGTCTCTGGCTCTGTGAGCCTCGGACGGTGATGCTGCAGTGACGAAATTCCTCAGGATTTTAAGTGTGTCGTCGTTGGCTTATTCTGGGTTTTTTTTAAACCTGGACTTAACATTGAACCTCAGTATTTTAAACGTGCCCGAGTCCGACTTACGTGAGCCCCGTGTTATTAGCGCTTTACCCAAATAATCCTAATTGTGCCTAAATCTGGGCTGTGGGGACTTGGATATGAACAACGCAGAACCCTTAATGATCCTCAGAGACAACGAGCCTCTTATATTCCTACCGAAAGCTTTAACATCCTACATGTCGCCTTATCCTGACTGTCTGAGCTCTGTGCATTTACGCCAAACTCTATGAATCCCAAAGGAGTCTAATCAATTCGATATTAGAGCTAATATCAGTGATTAACATGTCAGTGAGATTTTATTTGTCTTCAAATATAAATGAAGAGGTTGATGCAAAAAACTATAACGCTGGTATTCGTTTCTGTCTTTGTCTGTAATCGGCAGGAAAAAAACACGTACACAACACCTCAAGTGATGTTCTTATGTCCTTTACGTAATGCACTCAATGACGAATGGGTTTTACAATATGCCACTGTTTATATTTTCAATTAACAAATGGCATCAATTCACACAGATATTTACGTTTTATAAAGGAAAATCCTGTAATGGAATGATTGGTCAGTTCTATTTTAATGACTATTTTGTTAAAAGTAGAATCTCAATGTGATTTATAATAAAACCGATCATTTAATGATACATCTGATGGAAACAAATGGCACAATAAAATGTTCCGAGATCATAATTTTCCCCTTTTGCAGGAGCACGTTATGTAATTACGCGCACAGGTATGTCATACACAGTGATGTTATTGATGAATGCCCAGGTATATCCTTCCCCACTGTACAGGAGTCTCATGAGGATCATTTCGTTTCACAACTGTCACGCGAGACTGCTGAAAGGAGCCAAAAAAATAACTACCTAGGCTGTTTATCAGAGGTCGCAAACGGGTTTTGATTCCTTACCCGTACCCGGCTGCACCAGGGTTTGCAAACGGGTACCCGTACGCTACCCGTACCCTATCCGAAATGAGTGACAAACGGTTACTCACCGGTGACTCACGGCCTACCCGTACCCATACCCGGCCGCACCAGGGTCGCAAACTGGTACCCGTACCCGGCCGGGTACGGGTAGCCGGGTATCGGGTAGGGTACGGGTATCGGGTACCCGGTTGCGACCTCTGCTGTTTATGCCTGTACACGTGCCGGTGTGTTAGGTGGATCAATAGTAACATCGCAGCACTGTGAGAAGTGGGTATCAGCTTTGGGGGCTCTTCATCCAGCAGCAGATTGACCATGGCTGAAGCTTTATTGTTAATTAGATTAAGCATTTTAAGTTATGGGTCGTGGTACTTTATTGACGTCACTCATTGACATTAAGGAGTGTGGCATGCCCTAGAGTAGTTATTAGAGTGTTCCTGACCTTTTCCCCGAAAGCTAAAAACCAGTTTCAGGTAAGCACACAACGCCAAGGTGGTCATCTACAAAATAATATGCTTGTGTATTTAACGGTGCCAACATGGTTTGTTGGAAGGAACTGACACTTTTTAAGTATCTTAATGTCGGGGGGGAAATGTATGTCTCCGGCCTAATTGGCGTGATTAATAACAACGCCAGTGTGTTATCGCAGAAGTGTCATTAGGATGTTCCCTGCGATTCAGCTCTTGGAGTTTACTGATCACAATACTTTGCATGTTTGGCGTCGCTGTGGTGTCATTAGCAGCACACGTTTGACTGTAAAACCACCAGCTGATGAAATTTTAGCGCCGTGAGGCAAATGACGTCTGCCCGCGTTAAAGATAGCTTCATAAATGCATGTTCTAGCACAAGTTTTTGGGACTAATTAATTCATCACCATCAAGTTGAATGTAACTTATGTGTACTGTGCATGCAAAAAGTCTTACGTGTCATTCCACTGCTTTTGTAGCAGTTTTTTTTTTGTAAAAATATGCCCCTAACCTGTTGACATGTAAAATCAATGCACAGTTGTGTTGATGTGTAATTAATTGTTGATCAAGGCTTTCGTATAGAGTACACATTGTTGACAGTATTGTGAACAATGACATTAGATTATGCATCCAACTGCATTTCTGCACCAATGTATTTTTAACAGCATTTGTTTAATAATCAAACTACGCTTAATTTGTTAGATTATTTTTTGGTTTTGAAATACACGCGCATGTCAGTTAATATATTCATTATTTATTACTCACAGTCCAACAACAGAGCACAACTCGGTTTTCAAGCCAGCAACCTGCATTTGAATTCTGACAACAGCTAACATCAGTGGCAAGTGATATCTGAACCATTCCCAGACCTTGTTCAACGACCAGCATGGTAAAAATATGTTTCAACAACTACAACCCTGGTCTACATATCCCTTCATGGGCTTGCGCCACCATGTCTTGCCACGCTTGTATTTTTCTACGTGCCCTCTGACCCTCTACGTTCTCAATTTTTGCTGTCTCTCTCTGTTACTGCTCCTCCTTGCGCTCAATCCACGCTTTCGCTCTTTCTCTCTTTCGATTTAAAGCTTTCGTGACAGCAGGGATTCATCTTCTTGGTTCTTTCGGTAAAGACCGTCTCCCCGACAGACCTGGTCTTCATCTGAGGACGGCTGCTTGCGTTGTGGCCGAAACGTCGTGAGAATTATTTTATTATGTTTTATTATTATTTTACTACTTCCCTTCTACGTGACTTTACCGAAAGAACCAAGAAGATCATTCTCTCTTCTTGCCCCCCCCCCCCCCCCATTTCACTGGAACAAACTTCCCCCTGCATTAAGCAGTCACCTTCGCTCACTAGTTTCCACTCCGCACTCAAAACTCACTGATTATACTCTCTGGTTCTTTCGGTAAAGTCAGGTAAAGACGGATGCTTGTGTTGCGACCGAAACGTCGTGTTTTCTTTTGTTATTTATTCTACCTACGTGACTTTACCGAAAGAACCAGAGAGAATGGATTCCTGCAGTCACGAAAGCTTCAAATCAAGACTGAACTCACTCATTGTTCCCGAGCTCACCCCACCACCCCTTAATCCCCCCCCCCCCCTAATAACCACCACCGTTACTGTACCCTCTTCATATTCTCATTACATGGCTTTCATTCATTCCCCATTCATTCAATCCATTCATCATCATTTATTGTCATCAATTTCGCTTTCACTGAATTCATGCATCACAGATTTGCCCGTTGCTTCCTCTCATTTATTTCATTCACCTCATCTCCACCATTAAATCCGTGTGTACCATTGTTATTTTTTTGTAAAGCGCCGTGTAGTTAAGGCGCTAAATCAATTGCTTTAATATAAGAAACGGCCGTGGGAAGGCCATCATCCAACGTGTATTTACAAAGAGCTGAATTTTTATTTATTATACGATCCACGTTCAAGTAAGACAGCTGGTGGAGAGTGAGCGAGTAGACTGTACATCTTCATGAAAGTGGAGAGTCAATTAGAAGTGATTGTGCTTTCAAAGGTAGACATTCATTCACCGGCGTATGCAAGCTTCCTTTGCTATTCATCCAGCTTCTCACTGACAGCACCAAGTTAATTACCACATTGCCTAGGATGGATCTCAAGGACATCTGCATCATTATTCAGCATGGATTTATAATTTGCTTGCACCAGTTAGGATTATAGTCACGTTCCTCGAGGATTAGCCTTAACAATTCGTATTATCACGGTGTAAATGCACGGGAGTATTTAATTCGCACCTTAATCTTACCACTTATTAGGGTCGTTGCGAGTAAGCGGTTTGTTTAGGCAGGTTATGCCGGGTCATGGTCAGAAATAGGAATTATCTATTACTGTACTGGCAACCCTCATCCATTCACGGTAAGCCTCGGAAGGCCCCTTGGTGAATAGAAGTAAGATGACACTTATTTGAGAACAGCTGATGGATGGTTGTGCTATGCACGCAGGCATTCGAACCGCAAGTCTCTTGCAAGCTCACAACGGTGTACACAATTTGTATTTTTTTTTTAAACGCAAAAACACGTGTCATTGAAATTATAAATGCAAACGTATGACTCGCTGCTTTTTTTTATTTTGCGCATTTCGGCTGTATGTTATTACACAATGACATGCGACTGTACAGAGAAAACCATTATAAACAGGTGGATTTTTGATTAGATGATGTTTTAATAAATTATGCTTGCCGTAATTGCGTTCTGGTGGAGCAAGTATGACCGCATCATCAATACTGGCCACCAGCATGTCATTTCATAATGAATCTGCGTGGCAGGGGTGAGCCTATTCATACCACATCCCTTCCACATTGATTCAATGAAGTGTCGTGATTTGGTGTCCAGGTTACCATTCGAGATGCAACAGTCTCATCTATTGTTTGACTTGTTTTCTTGTTAGTTTTTTGTTAGCCTATAAGCACATTGGCATATAATTTGCAGGAATCATAGAATGGTATGTCTATATAAATGATGTATACATGTAGTGGTTGGTGCGTTACTCATATTGTGCGGAGCAGGGGGCAGTTCGGCAAATTCTATGGTTGTACTGTATTTCTAAACATCTACGCCTCTGTTGCCCTGTCTTCACCAACCCGTGCTGCCCAGCGTGATGAAGCGTGGTCCAATCACCCCCATTCTGGCGAATTGCCCGATGATGCTGGATGCAATTACCAGTGAAACGTCGTACTCAAATTGTAAATGTTGTGGTTTCACGCTTCAACACACCGGTGGGCTAAAGCAGTGAACTATTTGTCTTTTGTCAACGTGAGACTTTTTTTACTGATTGGCCGTGTCGGGTGGTGGAGGGTTACGACACATTTATAAATAATGCAATCTAACCCAAAAACGTTGATTATGAATAATATTGGTCGCGAAAGCCTACGTGTTAAACCCCCATAACCTGTCTGGAAAGGGGATGCCTTTATCCAGCAGTGGATTGACAGAGCTGAGAATATTTATCATTGCCATGAACCATATACAAGTAAGGCAGCTGGTGCAACGAGCGAGCGAGTTGAAGCAACATGTCTTAATTAAAGGGCTGTAGTAATAATAATATGGACATTTGATATTCGTGCCATTCTTATAACACGAAGGCTATAACCACAAAGGCTGTGTAAACTTTACAGAACGTTTCCAACTCCGTTCCTCTGCATAACTGGCTGACAGCGACAAATCCTAGGCAGTTATACTCTGTGTACATACCGTGAGTATAACTATCGATTTAATAGACGAATCATTACATTCTCAATCTTGATTTGAAGCTTTCGTGACCGCAGGAATCCATACTCTTTGGTTCTTTCGGTAAAGTCACGTAGGCAGAAAATAAAATATAACCAAAAATAATATATCACGACGTTTCGATCGCAACACAAGCGGTCGTCCTCAGGCGGAAAAAAAATATCCAGCAGTGGAACTGCTGAACATTCTCGCGGCTTGGCGCTTTTCTCTTCCCCCAGAACCCCCTCGCAGTAGCTTTCTTCGTTCTGATGCAGATGGCCCTGTCTAAGCAGTGGCTGAGGATCGCGGAGCGTGGCAGTGGGATGATGATGGCAACGTGAAGCGGAGAGGGGCGGCGAAGGTGGTCTCGAGAGACGGCGGGGGGAACGCCATGGCGGAGGCGCAGGCCACCGTCGAGTTCTCCGTGGAACTTCACAAGTTCCACAACGTGGACCTCTTCCAGCGAGGGTACGTCGTCATGGAGACCACTCGATGATGCGTTCAGGGTTGCTCCGCTGCCGTCGGGTCCCGTGCTCACGATGGACACGCCTCCTTGTCGGTTTTGCCGCATTCAATAAATTTCACCTTTTTTTTTTTTAGACCTGCTTCAAGTGTTACCTTCATCATAATAATCTTAATCAGCCGGCATCTATTGCCTGCGGAATGAAGACTTCCCCAATCCATCACCACCACCACTCATGTTTATACGATTCATCATCTCACTCTTGCGAATAAACTGACCAGAAATTTAGCTCACAAACAAGCATACATCTAAACACGTAAACATTAATGACCGGCTAAGCACAGGGAGGCTGTCCATAAGTTAAATGACAAAAGGGCTCTCTACATGTGTTGGAACAATTGCTGTTCAAGAGCACCTTTAAGGCTGGCACGGCACATGAGGCGGGTGGGTGGCCAACACCACGCCTGGCCGCCTTTGTCTCCCGAGTGGGCGTGTTTACACACCGCACCAGGTTCTCGTTTGAAGCCGAGTTGACGTAGGGGAGGCCCAGGACCTGTTAGGATATCCCTCACCGATGTTGGCCATGAGCGGAAATTGAACTCGGTGACTTGGATTGTAGTGCAGCTCAGCGCTACCTGGTACTCCACCACCAGCCGCATGCATCATCTTTAGCCATTGTCCACCTTTGGTTGAAGGCCTCTCCCCATACAGTCACCATCTACCACGGTCCTATCGTGCCATTATCCATCTTAGTCCTGCACATGAGCTGATCGCTTCGCTCCATCTCTGTGGTGTGTTCTCTCCTTTGGTTTCCATTTTGTCATCAGCCTCGTCCATCGGCCGTCATCCCGCACCTCCGATAAGCACGGTTAGCTACATACGGTGCGAAAGACGTCCAACATACATACAGTCCTTCTCGCGATGCCTTCTGCCCAAGCATACTTTTCTACTCTTAGTCTCTGAGTGCAAATTCCAAGCATGCACCTCTCCATCTGTCAATGTGTCTTGTGTTGCCTCCCTGCGCGATGTTATGCGAGACGCATGCTACTGGTCTTGTTTTTACGTATCGTGTTGCATTTCATATCAGCCTTGTGTATGTCCTCCTTGCTAGACTGTAAACAAAACGTAATGTGTGTATTTTTTTTAAACAGCTTCGAGCTGTCAGATTCACTTTTACGAGCAGGTGTAAAATACAACCAAGTGTCTGCATGTAACTTACAGCTCTGCTTTGAGACCTTCATTAAAACTAAATAATTTAATGATAATCCTTTCTTGCTGTTTTTATTCTTGCTCGTCGAGTAATAATTTTAAAAAGAGGCTATGATTGAGTGTTTACCCACCTCCCTCCCCTCCCCTCTGGAAATACTGTCCATTAGTATGTCACTCGGTACACACTCAAATCTGCAGCCTCAAAAACAGAAATAGACCATTAATAATCCGCACAAGCCTGCTGTACGGATTAGCCTCGTGCAAACTATTGAAGTGCTGCTGTGATGGACAGGTTTAAGCATGGTGACACCTTAGAGTCACTTTCTCCCCTCTGCTTCTCGTCGATTCCAACTGGCAGCTGCCACCACCGCTGCTGCGGTGTAGTCACGGTCCAAACAGCAGAGCTAGCGGTGTTGACGCTGGCTCGCACGCACACGGCACAATGCGGACGTTCGGTGAAGGTTGCCGTTGCAGGACTTTGCACACGCAAATTTTTGTATAACCTGCATTGGTGGGTTAGGGCTAAGCATTGCTTGCACCGCCGAATGTGTTTTTTACATTTTAAATGAGTTCCGTTGCGATTGTTATTTCTTGTCAGGACAACCCTTGTGCACGCCTGTTTTTTGTTTTGCTTCTCCGAAGCTTGTTGCGTAGTCGCAGACATAGCACAAGCACACCGCTCACAGCAATGCTTTGGTGGCGCTGTGTCGAGCATGCTCCAGCATGTTTTGCACTTTTTTTTTTCTTCTGTCGTAAATGTGTTTCGTTGCGAACCATATTTCCTAACTAAGAACGCCTTTGTTAGATTTTGCGTCTCATTAGTTTCGTTTTGTGGTTTGGACTCGCGTAATTATTCTGCAGATGCTGGAAATGCAGGAGCGGTGCATTGGATACATTGAGTGCTTTTCACGTGCGTGCAAGTGTTGGCTGCTGGTTCGTCAAGGTTAACGGACGTCGTTCTGAAAAGGAAGATTCTGAATGCTTTACATTTAAACCCCTTACAGGCTGACGTACCAGGAACATACATTCTTTTAAAAAGATTTTTGTCCCCATAGTCGGTCAACGAAGTAAATAATTCTTTAATTGTATATCAATACAGAGGGTTCATATTCGTTCTGGATGTAAGTGTTGACCCTGCCTGCTATTCGATGTATATAGTACTGTACAAAGTCGGATACCCAATGGTCACATTCTCGCCCTGATCAATTAACCACCCGTAGCCAGTGCAAAATATTTGTTCCGTTGAATAACCGTAGTGTTCCATTTTTATTGATAAATGTGATCTGCTCTTTTGTACATTTGCTTGGTTCTAAAGCACGGTCAAACTTTCCCCCCCATGTTTAAAGCAGTTTGTACCTTATTTTTCTTCCAGTATACGATTTGTGCGCAGAGGTGTAACTGTCATCTTATAAAGATGTAATTTTCACACCTCCGCCTGGTACCCCAGTCCCCAGCGAGTCACGTAAGCGAGATTGTCCTGGGTATGTAATCTGCGATGACTGTGGGGTTTCTGACTACCAATCACAAACACACGTGTGTGCTTTACTGAGTGTTATTTAAGCCAGATCTCAACGGGCTGCCACCTGCTTATAGAGTGCTCCTACTAAATATAAACTTAAAATCGGCGCATTTCATGGTTTGATGCGTTTATCGCTCGCATCATTTAACTTGTTTAATCTATATTTAATACCGATGATCAAGAACGTCTAAATATGTATGTATGTTGAACTTCTTTCACCCTGCACATAGCCAACCGTGCTAATCGGAGGTGCGATAGATGCATATTCATTATAACATGCCTGAGACGGACGTTCTCCGTGGAGATGGAGTGATGGAATCGGCTTGCGTGCATTTGTTAGACGGATTGAGGCATCGCAGGGCCGTGACCGATTGCAACGGCTTGAGATTGCCTTCGCCCATCACTGCATTGATCATGACTCATTGTTCATTACTCATGAATATAAAACTGTCAAGGAAATTTATTCAAAATTGTCAATTATTTTCTGGGTAAGATCGCCTGAATGAAATTCCCATTGTGTGTCATACACCCTCCTCCACCTGACACAGCCATATTAATACTGTTGGCACCCAGACAAAAGTTTTAAATTATTATTGCTTCATCCCACCGGTATGTCGGCGAGCAATACCCAACATTTAACAATTGGGTGCGAAGTTCTGCCGGTAATTACAGCCAGTATCATCACACGTTTGCCAGAATTGTGAAAATCTCCTCCTAGTCTTGACCCTTGAAAATGCGTCTGGATTGCTGCCCAACATATACCGGTGTGCTGAATCGATCATAAATTGACGTGCTTGTTCATGCGACAACTTTTATTTATTTTTCCGTGTCGGGTGGAGGAGGGTTTACCGCACACACATTTGCATTTTACTTGAGCGACCCAACCCAAAAAATCAATTACGAATTGCAACATTGACCGCAGAATTGTGCGTGCTAAATTTAGACGTGTATTCCGTTGCAGGTTTTACCAGCTGCGGGCCGCTCTGAAGGTGCCTCCGCGGATTCCACACAAAGTGGAGGTCAGCTTGCCCCATAAAAATGGTACGGCAATCCCACCGGTGCACTCACATTTACGTGGTCTGCATTCGGATTGGCTGTGCCCTGCCCCGCAGCCATCCGCAACATGTATATAAGTGCCTGTCGCATGCACTGTGCTCACAGATAAAGGTTGTCTGCCAATTAGTGTTCATGGCAAGTTTCCAGTACGCAAGCAGAGGACACTCTTTCATTTTAAGCGTACTTCTGCAACTGCAACGCTTACCTGCACTTTAACATCCACGTGTGCATTAATCCGGGCGCTTCTTTTCATAATGGCACCCTCTTCCTTATTGTTATTCCCTATGAGTATCCTGCTACAGTTGAGTGCAAACAGATGGCGATGAGTTATCGGATGTTCATCGCTGCCCTAAAGGGAGATTATTCTCAATTTTATTTAGTTTTTTAGAGAGGGAAAAAAAGTCGCTTGCATTTGGTCAACGTTTACCGTGGAAACCTTATTGCCACCTCTTTTGCTCAAGGGACGTTAGCGGAGTCTTGTTTCGTGCGACAGCGAAGGGTGCTTATTGCTTTATAACCACGGATAAATTAGCAAGGATGAAAAAAATTGAGTTATGGAGAAAAAAATCGATTTGGAATGGGGATGAGTAATTAAATTATATATCTTTTTTTTCTTGAGCACATCATTGGTTTTGGTGGGTTTATTTCTTTCTAAATCTACATAATGATGATTTAACTCTATTACTAACGATATTGCACGGCTCTCAGAAGAGCTGAAATGTATTGGTGCGTGCATTGCATTGAAAATCCCGGTTTGCATGAAGTTGTCCGGAAAATTGGCTCGTGAGACAATGTATTGAAACCAATAAACCATCTATAATCCCATACTTATAGTGCATATTAAGATTTTAAAATGTCAGCCATCTGAACCTTCAACAGGAACACTTTTAAAGCATTATAATTTCAGTTGTTTCTCACATTTATCATTGCATCTTGGCAAATGACATCTGTCTTTTTTTTACATTATGTGCATTTATATTGTCTATTGGGGAGAGGTGCAATAACTCTCCGAAAGATTATCTAATTTGAGCTAAGCTGGTTTTTTAAGTTGTTTTGGCCAAACTTGGAGATGTAAATAAAATATTAAAAAATACTTTTTTTTTTAAACACGCTTTAATGAAATGTACCGTACTCGTTAATGGCAGAACTCCACGACTCCAGGAAGTGGCCCCGCAGCTTGCCATAGCGTAAGGAACCGTGGTGATTTACAGGCAACGTGAGTTGAGCGTGGACAATTAGACCCGTAAAAAATAATGTTTAAAAATATATATAAAAAATTTAAATGATAAAATATAGTATTGTCATCAGTATGACATACGTATACCAAGTTGGCAGTCGATAGCACATTGGGAAGTGGGTAAAAATTGAGTTACACGATTTTTTAAGGTACGACAACAGACGGAGTGAGTTAAATAAAAGCGTGTAAAAAAACTCTGGCACAAAGGTAAACGTGCAGCCCAGTAAGTGCTTGCTCCCGCCACTGCCGTTGGGATCGCTTCCACTCGAGGGAGCTCGTGAAGGAATTTTGGCCTACTCTTCCTTATGCTGGCCAACTGTCGAGGAAGGAACGGGAGTACCCACACTTTACCCCACCGCAGGCGACTTGCCAATCGACTAACTGTGGTACTGCTGGTGGACACAATCAGCGGGATTTAACAAATAATAAAGATTAAAGAGGTTGCTAAGAAATCTTACTCATGGCTTCTTGAAAAACAAATGCAGATCTCAGATTGCTACACCCATTCCGTGACACTGGGCGCTGCTATGATGCCGGTGGTAGTGTCATCAGAAAAAAAAATCTTTACTGTGAATCTTTATCATTGAAAATGTTTTTGTATATTAAAAAATAATTTATTTAAGTCTTTTTCTTGAGCGCGTAACTGTGAAACGCATGGCGTAAGTGGGAAGTACGGCCCTAAATGGTGCATCTCGTAACTGCGAATTTACGCTGTGGGGTGGTGCGGGGGATGGGAGGGGGGCGGGCGTTATGCGAGGGATGCCTGTATTTGCAAATAAACAAAGCCATTTAGGCCTCCCTGCTACTTGTTCCATATCGATAATTCAGAGACAAACGCCTGTAGCAACGTGTTACATAATCAATGCATGAGCATGAATTATCCTAACTTGGCTATGCACACCTTTATTCTCGCACGTCATGTACGTATGCAAATAGCGCAGTGATTTTTTTTGGTGGGAGTTGTACTTTGCTGCAAAGCAAGTGGCGTGCCATTTTCTGCTTAAAGCCGTAAAGCGATGGAAAGAAAATGACGACAGCACACGAAACGGACTAATTTAAAAAATGTCCTTTAAATTGATGCAGCCCTGCGCAATCGTGCGTTACGTCACGACGCACTGGTCTTACACCTAAAGCGCATCGGTGCATACGCACGCGTCGTACGACGCCTTCGCCTGGGGTTATTGATGAGCCGGGGCTCGGTTGAGACTGCCCGGGGCTCGGTTGAGACTGCCCGTGGCTCGCCTTCGTGCCTGGCTTTTGTTCATTTTCAATTATTGTATATGTAGTGGAGTCCAACTGAGTAACAGACGTTGTCTTAGGGAGCAACACTTTTATTAACTACGAGCTTATATACCCAGCATTGCCCGGGCCAAAAAAATATTTCAAAACTACTCTTAAAAATCTAACAGCAGTGCGTACTGATTGTGGTGGTACCTTCTATCGTTGCAGTAGTACATGCTGACTCTATAGCACAAAGTACTCGTCTTACAGAATGGCATGGTGAGGCCTAGTCCCGTGCAGAGCCTCCGGCCTCGCCTAGATTGTCCAGCCGGCCGAGGTGGCACCTTGGCAGGCTGGGGCTGGGCTGCTACCCCTGACCCCCCCCAGCCACGATCTCCCCGGCTGCTCTACAGTAATATCTATGGCCTATAGTGGTAGCATCTAGCAACTGTATATATTAGTAACTGCACGCATCAGGGTGGGGGGGGGGGCATCACACAGTGAAGATATAAGCTCAGCGTTTAGTGTATTTTTAAAGCATTTTAAACACGAAAGAAAATGTCCCCCTCCCACCTGGGCATGGGCCGTTCCCCCCACCAAAGGCGCGTGAGTTGGTATGGTCGTGCATGCGTCATAAATAAATAAATAGATAGTGCAAAAAAACGCACTAAATCTCTAATTAAACTTATTAAAAGTTGACGGATGTGAAAAAGGAATAGCGCTTGCTCACTGCGGGGCTTACGGCGTGGTACCTGGATATTTTTAATTAACGTAAATAAAATATCCATGTACCACACCTGCAAGCCCCGCCGTGAGAACAAAACGAAGAGTAAACCCCACCGTTGGAGAGCCAAATCCTTCGCAAGCGCGCGAACACACACAAAGCCACAAACCGACAGACAATTTTTGACTTTTTTATATATATGAACTATTACCACAACATACTTTCGGGTGGTGACCATCCAACTAACCACGCTACGGCGGAACTAGACACGGCTCTACTATCCCGGTCCGGACCACACACTGGGTCCCGGGACCGCGTGGCTGGAGGCTTCTTCAAGCATGACATGGATCTCCTGCCTCGCTTCTCGCCCCGCCCACCTTCTCGATCTCTCTCGCCCTTGCCCGAAGGCTCTCGAGAGTTCTTCCCGGACCATGTGACCACCCATTGGCCCCCTCCACCGGTGGCCCCCCTCCAGTATTATCCGGTCACGTGTCTCCGGGTCAGCCAGAGTATCATGCCCCCAACGTAGCCCTAGCTAGCTGACTCTCTTGCTCTCTCAACGGGAGCCCACACCGCACGCTGTGCGTGGTGCCACCGTGCTTAACCGGCGCTCACCCAAGCCACCACTAGGGCTGGTACTACACCCCGTGTCCGGGGTGTACACACAACAGTAGACATCCCGCCGTGGCCTCGCAGGCCCGGCACCACAGTGACATTCCAAGTCACTACACATACATTATCCCTGAACACTGCAGGAGGAGCAGTGCGGCGTTCTTCTCAGGAAGTGGGTAGATGACATGACTCGAGCCGTGCCTGCCATGCAAATAACGTGCCGGAGTGCTGTTCTTCTGGCATTGTAGGCAAATATAAGTACCTTCTGTTGTTTATTTTGGGAAGAATAATCTATCTGTCTTTTTTTTGCTTTGCACAAGTGCGCGCATTTTTCCGATGACTGGCATGCTGGGAGAATGGCGAAAGCCTCCGGAGGCTGAAGCCTCGTGGTGCTTTCAATTCCCCCACCCATATCTTGACCTAGGAGACGAGATGCTTTGTAGCCACTCATGCGGTTGTGCTCATTGTGGTCAAGCACCAAATACGATGGGAGAGTGGTTCATCATAATCATCATCAGAATCAGACTATTTATACTGGAGGAATCCGATGAGCTATAAACCTCTTTTTCACAGATGTCCGGTAGGGGCAGGTCGAAAGGTTACAACAACAAACAATACAAAAAGTATATACGAATACAACTAAACCATTTTTGTTCTTACCAGGTAAAGCCCACTGAGTTATTCACATATTTTTCAAAGACGACCTGGCCACAAATTATTGCTCAACAAAGTGGCTTATCACGTGGAAATATATAGCAGTAAAATACATGATCTAAATGCCTCTTTCTATATGTGGAGGGGAAAAACTGGAGGACCCGGAGAAAATCTCTGAAGGTTAAACTACTGGTGAACTGAAGGCTTTCCCAAGCCATCGCTATATCTCATATTCTTGCGATGTAAACACAGACAAATTAAATTGCATACTGGTCCCGATTACATTAGTCTACAATATAACTTTGGCCGGATATTCTGCGAGACATCAATTTAGTATTATCACTAGCCAAGTGGCCTCATGGGGCTATAATGCGTGCGGGCGGGAAAGTGAGCGGTGGCGACTTCACCACACACGCACATCTGTACGATGACGTCACCCACATCCCACATCATTGAGAAAGGCAACTTCTAGTATTCCGTGAATTAACTTTTTAATATTTAACCCGTTCTGAGTTGTATCTCCCGTATCTGGGAGACTCGGTGAAACTCTTCTGCATGAATAGCAAAAAATAGTTTCTTCATTACAAGGCAGCGATCAAATAGCTGTTTGTTTGCCAAGCTGCTGACATTTCAATCACCTCTTGAATTACTGTGTGTGTGTGTGACCCAGATTTCTACAACTGTATTTCCACCAAGTACAAGTTTGGGGTGCATCTTACTTTCCGGAGCATCTTAAAATGCAGAGGACGTGCTGTCATTTGGCCACCCCTTGGTTTTTTTCTCTCAAAATAACACCTCCAGCCTTACTCTTTGGTTCTTTTGGTAAAGTCACGAAGGTGAAAATTAAAAAATATAAATAATTAAATTAAATCACGACGTTTCGGAGGCAACACAAGCTTCCATCATCAGGTGGGACAACCACAGCAAAAAACATAATTACTATAGTGGGCAGAGAGAGCTGTTTGTGACAAGCGATTATATATGGGGTAAGAGGGGGGGGAGGAGCCTTCTCACCACGCTGCGTTCACTGCGTTTTTCTCATTAAGCCAGACGGGGGCGATGGGGGGGGGCGCATTGAGCAATATTGTTGTCACTGGGGTTTAGTTTTTGTGGTTTTTCGATAAACTCCCTTTAGACCTGCATCGCAGGAGCAGCAACCCTACTTGGCATGCCGGACGCGTGCAGCAACGTTTGGAAGGGGCGAGCGAGCGAGCCAAGCTGACGCCACGGATAATGTGATGCGGCGTAACTGGCCGGGCAGCGTCGTGGCATCCCCCCCCCCAACCCCTTCATTCAACAGCACCAAAGTGCACACAAACACAATCCCGGACCACCAGAGGCGTCCGTCGTGTCGGTCGTTTGAAATTTGTGGCGATCGTGTGCACGCGCTTTGTTGTTCTCCATCCCCGTTGTTGTCACATGGGGTAATCGCGATCGTTTTGTGACGACGCAGATGTAATTGCGTCTGGTTCACAGCACGGGTAGTGACGATTTGAAAATAAAATTCGCTGAATTAAGTGTAAATGCGTGTTTCAACGATGGCAGTGTAGATCTGTCGTGATGTCTGTTTATATTCAATTCAAAACAAGATTCGTCCAGGTGGCGTGCTGGTTGGAAACGTGTGAAAGGTCGCGAGTTAAAATGCGGGTCAGGTGCTCGACTCATCCCTTCATCCATTTGTGGTCAATGAAAGATGTACCTCTTTGTGAGAATGTAACTGTGGTTGTCAGTGATCATTCTTTCTGGGAGTTTCTTGAGCAGCTTCCAGCACATGCAGTGAAAAGTCGGGACATTATGCCAAACAACATGCAGTACGACCCGAAACCGCATCGGAGAGAGTTTTTTTTTATTTAATGGCCTGAAGTGGTTCCATTATGCACAGATTTAAGTTTTAATCCAGTGCACTTATCAAGTGCCACCCCTCGAATCGGACACAATTATCCACTATTGACCACGCACGCTCTTCCATTTTCATGAGAACAGAAAAACTTAAGTGGTAGCCATAGAAATTTTCATTTGCTGCCGAAATACAATTTAGCGTGCGAGATTTTGTGCAGGACTGTGTTTTTTTGCATGGCAGGGCTAAGGTATCCCGGAGGGCAGAGGTTAACATCGTTGTGTATGTGGTTTTTTTTGTGTTTCATCAAAATTAACAACTCAATCGTTGTTTTGTAGCCTGGTTTGTGTCACTTTGGTGGGATATGTGGTTTAACTTTTTGCCAAAATTGTGCAAAATATTGTCAATGATGTTTTAAGCTCTGTCATAAAGAAGGCTGCAAAGTTGGACTCAGTTTAAATACCAGCAAAAAAACAGAGCCCGCCGAACAATTGGAGACGTCCATCAGAGAGTCACGCAATTGGGAAAAGACAGCAGAGTAATTGTACCTCGAAGAGCCATTGAAGGCGAATTGGAGTCCAAATGTTCGAATAAAGAGGCTGACCAAAGAAGTGGCAGGCTGAGGCTGAGCCAGCGCTGCTAACGCTTGTCCAATCGTTGGTAAACATGACTACACAACAGAGATCCTTAAAACAGAAAAAAAAAACGATTAACAGAGTTATTTTCAGAGTTAAAAAGCCATTAAATGTTCATTACTTTACACTGGTACCTTTTTTTTCTCTTTTTTTCAGGGAAGACTCATTATCATTCTAAATGGAATAGTAATGTACCGTACTGTTAAATTGTTAATCCCATTACTCCATTATTTTCCCATGTTTAAAATAGTTTTCCTCTTCATTGTTGTCCAATGTGTGCACGGTGTTACCAATAAGTTCCTGTTGCCGTTCACTTATCTGACCTTTTCACATATGAACCTTATGGCGGTACCCCGGGGTACCATAGTACCCCGGCTCTCGCATAGTCTGTTGATGATCGGCGATGCGGCAATGGACTCATCTCGACGAGCTGTACACGATGCACCACTACGGTGCGTACCACGAGCGTTCAGGGTTTCGGCGCAATCATCCTCGCTGCGTTTCGACATCACGGAGTAGCACTGATTTCGAATTGATTGGTGCCCCAGTCACGGAGTTAAGTACACCCCTGAAAAAATTGTGTCCCAGAAATAAAATATTTAATTGCCTGGGCCATTTTGTATTATTTGGTACCCTGAGGTACCGCCATAAAGATCATCTCCTCCTATACCTTGGTCCTCCAGCCACGCTGTACTGCGCTGTCAAACATAAGTGTGAACGTTGCATTCTTGGTCCCGAGCTCGTTCCTGTCCGTCCGTGATGCGATTCTTAAAAAACGTGCTCCATCCCTCTCCGTTTTCTTTCTGCCACACACAGGAGGGGACCCGGTGTCACAGGCCACGGTGTTAGGCCCCGCCTCCGTGTCCAGCCGCACCTTCCAGATCCTGTACAAGAGCGAGGAGGTTGTGCTCGGTGACGTGGTGCTGTTCAAAGCGCACGTGCTGCTCGACGCACGCCGGGTGAGTCGATTGGCCGATCGCGTGCTACGTCTTCCGTGTGCCTTATGTAAATACCGCAGGTGCGATAGCTGTTGCGGGTAGTACGGTATGTGTATGTATATTGAATCTTTCGCACCATACGTAGCCAACCATGTTAATCCGAGGTGCGGGGGAAGGAAAACAAACCTAAACACAAAAAAACTGTTCTACAGAAATTCGTTTTCAATCCATATAAAATAGTGCATATCCCCAGTGGCTTCCGAATATTGGAAGGAAGACCGTTCCAGACGGCCGCAGAAGCGCATCTGAAAACGCGCGATGCGGTGACCGTCTTTGTTCGATGGCTAGCCAAAAGCCGCGGTGAGAATGACCGGCGTTTGCATGATGGTGGTTTATGCCCCTTGAGATCACCATGGTATTGTGGTTCATTTGTGGCTCGTTTGTGGCAAGCACTTTGTGTGTAATGAGTGCAGTAAATTCTGTTCTTGTTCTGCTCCTCCACCCCACCTTCAACCCACGCTGATGACCAGTGTGGGGAAGTATGGTCAAATATACCCTGTGGCCCGCAAGATGTGTCGGTCTCAAGCCAGCAATAGATTCAGAAAACCGGGCCGTATGCGTACATATGTAACACCATATATTCATACCACTTTAAATTCTGAATGTACCAGAAGAACAAAAGACAGAATCCATACGTGACCCTGTATTGCATATTGTCTGCTTATTTATTTCGTTATTTATTATCTTCACAATGGCCCTAAACGACTTTTTGTGTTGAGTATCATCTAGTTTTGCATTGAACTTGAATCCATATCTAACAGAGAGGGTTATTGTCCGTTAACAACTGAAAGTTTAAATTTTTATTTAAAGCTTTCGTGACTGCGGGGATTCATATTCTTGATTCTTTCGGTAAAGTCACGTAGAAGGAAAATAATAAAATAATAAAAAATATTAAACAATAAAATTCTCACGACGTTTCGACTGCAACACACGCAATCATCAGTCGAAACGTTGCGATAGTTTTATTGTTTTGTATTTTTATTATTTTATTATTTCCCTTCTACGTGACTTTACCGAAAGAACCAAGAATATAACTGGCAGTTTACCAACATTAGTTCAAGTTAGCCTAGCCTGACTGCCGATGAGGCAATGAATGTCCCGACTGGTCCAGAGTTTGACTGTGAGGAACCAGTGCTGCTGAAATTGTACACTCCCAGAAGGCCCCTGTGGCTGATGGGATGTGTGCAAAATAGTTTGTTTTGCTAGAGGGACAGAAATGGGCGGGAGACTAAATGTGTGCGTGTTTATGTCGGAACGGTATTTTTTTAATTTGTCGCGTGCAGATGGAGGAGTCCCTTGCGGAAGTTGACTTTCAGCTCATATTGGAACTGTGTTTCACCGACACAAACTGCGTGTGAGTCATCTCCCTTGCAACATTTTCCCGCCCCCCAACAAAACAAAAGACCACCGCACACGTACACCACACAGCCACCATAAAGATGCGTGTACACAAATGTACAGCACAACTAGGTTCGTAACTGCGCCAGGGGGGGGGGGTAGGTGGGGTGTCGAGTTTTCGACAGGTTTTAACGTACGTACAAATAGACGAAGCTCATCAATATGTAGCGACACTCGACACAGCCGTCTTCAACAATAGGAGTCTTTATGTCCTTAGACACGAGACATGATTCCCTTCACTCCAAGCGTCTTGTGCTCTCGCGTTTCCTCCTCACATATTCCTCAAGCCCATTTCTTGAAGCTTCCTTGATCCACTTTCCCTCCAGCCAATCACCTTCAACTTTCTCTCACGGACCCCAACCGACCTCACTGTTAATCAGCCTCCGTTTCCCGCTCTTTACATTTGGCATTTCTCCTCCAATCCCTTAAATTTTACCCGCCTCTAATCAATCTCCTTTCAGGCCCATTAAGTACCAATCAGAGGGCTTGTTTTTGCTTGCTGATTATCCGTGTCGCCTAGTGTCCACCACGTCAGGTGAGTATCCGTTGGTAGTGATACAATCTATAAAAATATAATCTGCAAGATACATTAATCGAGAGCAGGAGCCCCGCAACTCGATATCATCAAGGGAGAACACGAGCTGCTCCCTTGAGTTCCGGAAGACTGCTCGCAGCATGCGGCATGAAACGTCGGACATCGTGCCAAACAACACGCGGTGAAACCCAAAAACACATCGGAGAGCATGCACAGCACACCCGTTGAAACCTACGTAATAGGAACAGCATGCAATTTGATTTTATATATCATCCAAGCACATCCTGCATCTTAAGATTCTGTACAGGTAGGAGACCCCACACATCAAGAAGACGCCGAAGAGAGGATACACATATTTGGAGGAGAGTGAGTGAAGCAGCAGGGGATTGCATGACACATGGTGAAAGAACAGACGATATGGTAACGTCAGTTGAACACGTAGGCTTTCGCGACCAATATTATTCATAATAATGTTTTTTGGGTTAGATCGCATTATTTATAAATGTGTCGTAACCCTCCACCACCCGACACGGCCAAACAGTAAAAAATGTGTCACGTTTACAAAGGACAAAATAATTCACTACTTTAGCCCACCGGTGTGTTGAAGAGTGAATCAACATAATTAAAAATTTGAGTACGACGTTTCGCTGGTAATTATATCCAGCTTCATCGGGCAATTTGCCAGAATGGTGAGGCTCTCCTCTTGCTCCCGGTCTTAAATAGAGCAGCAGCAGGGTGATGTCATCATTTAATTCATTCAGGTGCAGTGATTTTAGGCAGGGAGGGTATTTTAATTATATAATAGATTGGTAATCATTCAATTGTTATTCATTGGTGTTTGTTTCCCTTATAAGGAATTGTAACTGTATTATATATTTTATTTATTTAATAATACGCTCGATATAGTAACGTGCTTAGCTCGCACTCGCACCGTTTCCCGTCGCTGCTTCTTAGCGAAGTTGGCACACTTGCTGTGTGCGTGCGATGCTGCAGGCAAGACGGCTGGAACCTGATGCAGCCCATGAGCACCCGCACGCTGGCGCTGCATGTGAGTGCTGGCCGTGGCCTGCACCAGCACCGGCCCGTCATGTTTGACTACTTCCACCTGGCGGTGGCGTCGCTGTCCGTGCACGGCTCACTCGTCGCCCTGCACCACCCACTCGTCAGGTGCGATTCCCCGGGGCCCATCCGTATGTCCGACCGTAATTCCGTCTTGTCAGCCTATCCGTCGCTGTAAATGGTTTTCAGTCCATTGTTTTTTCTGTTCAGTCCGTCCATCCATCACTCCGTTCATTGATGCGTCGTTCTTTGATGTAGTGATTTGTCCGTCCAATCCATACATCCATCCATCATTCCGCTGTGATGGTGCATCAGTTCTTTAGTCCGTTGATCTGTCCCATCAGTCTGAAGGAGAATCTTTATTTAGGCCGGAGGAATCCCATGAGCTATTTTTCACAGATGTCCAGTTGGGGCAGGTCGGCAAGTTACAACAAACAATACAAAAAATCTAAATGATAGGAGTGCAAAGTAGAGAAAAGGTAAGCATCATCACGAAAAGGAAATAACTAATAATAAATAAGTATGCAAATCAAAATTGCACAAGTACGTAAATCCCTGCGGATTTTGTAACACTAAATGCAAGCTTGGCCATGGCGGCAAAACGACAACAAAAACATTCCCATACCACACCAAGACAACCCACAGTCCCTCAATAAAATTGCAGTCTGTCCATCGGTCCATCCGATGGTGCGTCGATCTTCGGGTCCCTCCGTCGTTTTGTTCATCCGGCTGTCAGGATGTTTACCTGTCGTTACAGTCCATCCACCTGGCCGTCTGTCTGTCCGTCCATTGCTGTGTCGGTCTTTAGTCCATCGATTGGTCTTCAGTCCGTCCATCCGTAGGGTCATCCATCAATCCGTCCATCCAGCCGTCTGTGCATTCATTGTGCCAGAGTGCAGTGACTGGCTACTCATGCATTATTAAACATTTTGATATGAAACACTGTTAACAAATTGCATATTAAACTTGATCATAGCCGTTGATATTAATTGTATTATATTCTTAGGTTTTTTCGGTAAAGTCACGTAGGTAAAACATTAAAATTAATAAAAGTAAAATAAAATAAAAATCACGACGTTTCGGAAGCAACACAAGCTTCCGTCTTCAGGTGAAACCGTCACAGTCCGACAGCTGTATCAGCTGTATCAGCTGTCGGACTGTGACGGTTCCACCTGAAGACGGAAGCTTGTGTTGCTTCCGAAACGTCGTGATTTTTATTTTATTTTACTTTTATTAATTTTAATGTTTTACCTACGTGACTTTACCGAAAAAACCTAAAAATATGAATCCTTGCAGTCACGAAAGCTTCAAATCTAGAATTAATTGTATTTTAAGTTGTCATTAAGATTGGCTGTTGAGCAGCTTAAACAATGACGTTTGGAAATAGAAAATGCAGGGTTTAAGTGTGCAAGCTTCTGTCGTCTAAAGCATTATTAAACATTAATATGTGAAACAATCTTGACCTCATACATGTGAAGCTTAATCTTAGATTTTCACATGAATTATATTTAAATTTAAAGATTCAGATCTTCTTGTTGAGCAGCTTCTCCAACAATGTCATTTTAAGACGGAAAATGATTGGACTGTCTTGGCCGGTGTGTACAAGCACGAAACATCTCAACATGTTCACCATTCACACTGCCCTACAACAACAAAATAACAGTCTACTAACCTTCAATCACCAATTTTCAGAGTAAGGAGAGCAGAGAGTTTGATTTAAAGTTATACTTCACACTTTAAAATGTGTTGTCTATAAAAACGTCTGGGCTGTAATCCGATTATCCAAGTTGTATGTATGTTGACCTTCTTTCTCACCCTTTGGTTCTTTCGGTAAAGTCACGTAGAAATGAAATAAAATAAACTATTTTGTTATTTATATTCCTGCAGTGACGAAAGCTTCAAATCAAGTTTCTTTCTCACTATACAGAGCCAACCGTGCTAAACGGAGGTGCGATTACTCACCGACGTGGCTACTCTGTTCATTATCTATTGACTATTGGGTAGATTATGCGACTAATCGGATAACATGAAAACTATTAATAAAAAGCCCCTCTATTCCACTGCACAGGAGGTGATGCATGTGCGTATGTTAAACGTTCACACCATACATAGCCAACCGTGCTAATCGGGAGGGTGTGATGGGCAGTGGTTGGTGATGTCATTGGCATCATCAGCCTTGTCACGCTGGCCAAGCCCAACGGGGTTTCCCACCTTCACGAGACAGGATGTTGGGGCGGCCACAATTTTGAAGAAGGCCCGAGTAAAAATGCGGTCGATTACAATTACTCGGTTGACAAATGGACATCATCGACTGATCATCCCAGACATTTTGCTTCTCAATTGGCGATTCATTGTGAGAAATTAAGTTAGGTATGCATCGTCTGCTTCGCAGCGGGCGTTAATGACCCCGAGACGTCATTCGATAAAGTGAGGCCATGCGGACTTGCGTCATGGTCGAAAAATGCCAAATTCATTAGGAAAAGCCAACATAGCATCATCAACCCCTTCTATGAAACTAATGGAGACTATGCCCAGCAAGTTTGAGGAGAGCGCCTTCTCATATGCTGGGCCGTGCTAATTGGAGGTCTGATTAGCACAGCAACTGCGTGCCGAGAAAAATTCAAATATTTTTCGGAAACTTGTAATGTCTTTTATTTTTGACCTGGCTTTCGATGTATTTACTCAGAATTCATCATGTAATGCACTACTCGTCAATATTGTAAGCAGCGCAATAATTGTAACGTTCGCGTGTCGTATATTTGTCGAACGGCGTCTTCGTGATAGCCTTGCTTCATAACGATGATCTTCACTCATTTTCAGAGGGGGGCTCACTTTTGCCGATAAGACATTATCAGTGCGAGGGCTGCCACACCGCCTGCACTCAGTGTTTTCACATTTGTGTGTTGTCGGGGGACCACACGTCAGAGGCCGCACTCAAAGCCCACCAGAGGCTGTCAGTGGCCCACGAGCCTTGCAATGAAGAACACTGCTTTGTAAGAATGGTGGGAATGCCAAATGTACTCGTAATTTGATTCGATCGTGATTATACGAAAAGGCACGGTAGTTAGCATCGCTTACCCCCCCCACCCCCGCCTCGTCTCTCCGCCAGCTTCCCGCGGCAGGTGAAATCGTGGCTCGGACGGAGCTCGCAGACGTTGCCGGCGCGAGACTGCGACATCCCGGCGCCGGAGATGGTGCTGTTCGGCAGCGGATACAGCAGCCAGGGCTCCCCCAATGTCAGTGGCCCCGTGCGTGTGTGTGTGTGTGTGCATGTACGCTAAGCCTCAGCCGGAATCTCTCTCCCATGCATCTCTGTACTTTGATATTTCCCCCAACGAATCCAGGCAGGCATCCTGCGAATAAATGTTTTTTCTCAAGTACAGCAAGTTGATTCAATCCGGTCACCAGTGACTGCACGTAACATTTGGTTCTGCACTGAACCCTTTTCAATTCCGGAACGTCTGCAAGTTGCAGGGTGGGTGTCCCGTTCGCCGCTGAATTAATATTTAAAGAGACGTAACTCCACTGTTTTTAATGGCACTGTGCTCACCGCTGGGAACTGTAGGGACACGACTGCGTCATTGGAATGGGAAAGGGTGAATTTGGCAAAAAATCCACCTCTGAATTCAAATATTGGTTTGACCTGTCTTGTGACAAACATTGTTGTTGTACAGAGCCAGTGGGAAAGTGCTGCCATCTACTGTGTGGGACCAAAGGTCACTTTTCAGAGATCTGAGGTCACTCTGCAAATGGTTGTGCTGCTGCTGTGCAAGAGATTAACATGGATATTTCAATCTCATTCTGTGGCACGCCAATAGACTCAAACCATGCGCCTCCCCTGTGCATGCAGCTTTCCTGACTCCAGATAAGAGTGATTAATACCACCGCCATCATCGCTGTCATCGTCATCATCCCCCTTCTCACCCTCTTTCCTTTTAATTTCGGTCTTCATTGCACCTTTGCACATGAAATAAATATTGGAGGACTGTATGTACACATCCCCCCCCCCCAACTCCTTCCCTCACCTTCTCCTCCCCTAAAAATACCACGTCTCCAAACGTTTCCCCTACGTGAGTCGGGCAGTGAGTCCAACCCCCTTCCCTCTCTCCTGCCCAGTGGGTACCTGGCCTCGGGCTTGTCGTCCGCAGAACATCTGTACCCCTCCCCACCCCCGCGCTCTACCTGTCGCTCAATCTTTGTACCGTGCTATCGTTTAATGAAAAAAATATTATTGGGCTCACTGCCCCCCGACCTGGGTGGGGCGGTGAGCCCAATCTGCCGCCCCCCCCCCACCTTCACCAAGCCCTGTCTCTCCAATCTCGGGCTTTTGCTCGCGGAAATTCTACCCTCTTGTGATGGCTGCTATGTACCGGGCTCGTGTTCAGTTGAAATAATGACCCCCAACGATTATTGGACAACAAATAAACCGGCGCCTGGATGTCACCGTGGGTGTGTGTGTGCGTGCGCACGCGTGTCGGCGCGGTGTGGAGCAGGGCGGGAGCCTGGTGGTGCCGGAGAGCTGCCTGCAGCACGCGCACGAGTTCCACCGCGCCGCGTGCGCTGCCCTGCTCGCATCGTACCGCGCGCTCTTCAACCACTGCGCCGCGCTGCAGCACGACGTGCCCAGCCTCCAGCTGCCCGCCCAGGGTAAGGCCCCCGGGTCGCTCCCCCACCTCCCCCCCCTCCCCCCCCACGTCGTTGTGGTCGAGCTGCCACGAAAGCCAGCGGGAAGGCCTTTTGTATTTAGTTCGTCCCCCCCCCCCCTGCACCTCCAATTAGTACGGTGCGAACGAAGTTCAGCGTACATACATGCATACAGCGGAAAGTGGCCGTAATAGTAAATAAAGCAAAGCAAACGTTATACACTTTTTACATGCGCACATGGTCAATTGTCAGAATTTTTATCAAATGCAGACGGACACAAGCTGGTGTGAGTGTCTTTGGAAAATCTGAGCTCGATAATGAAAAGCAATTAAAGCAATGTGCCTAAAGAGGAAAGTTTTTCATCAGTATGTGTTACCTGCTATGGAATAAATGTTGAAAAGTGCAGCATAGAAGCACGGAGAGGTGCACGCGAGGACTTACACCGACAGATAGCTATAGGAACACGTAACTTCGAAAACAAATGTAGAACAGTTAGAGGCATCATAAAAGTGGGCTTGTACAGGAGATGTCCGCTAGAAGGGATGATGGCCAAGTCGAACAATAGAGTGGCAGCCAAAGCAGAAAGCATCTATCAGAGCAGGTGGCATCTAAGCGGATTAGTTCACTGAATTCTATATAACAGATCAGTGTGTATGACATTAGAATGGCTCGTGCACATACGTATGCTGCTTCCTTCTGCATGCAGCTTACTTGTGGTGTCAACAGTGTTCCGAACTGAGTATTATTGGATTATGTTGACATTTTGCTTTTTTGAATAAATATTTCGGATATCCTTTGGGGTTACCCCAAATTCCAGCTTATTCGAGTCCGGCTTCGAGAGGTTTTACTGTACAATCAAGGCCGGGGTTAAGCATTGTGACTGAGGAAATAGCTGACATCACCAGAAATGTATAACATGTTAAGCTACGTATATTTGAGATGAGAGACGCGGTCTGTAGGCTTGATTTAAGCTTGAAATGGATTTAGCAGTATCGCCTGCAAAGTGGATACTTGTTTTAGACAGGAGAAGCAAGATAGAGGAAGTGAGATATCGTGCCTAGGTTTAGTTGTCATGTCAAAGGATAAATTATATCACTCGGGTAATTCAGACGGCTATGGCCCTTCCCTGGGTTTCTGTGAGCTGAACAGACCTTGCATCATCGTATTGTTTGCAACAGGTATGAATTGTCACGATTGAAATTGTTCATACTGATCCGTATATAATGTGTGTGTGCGTGTGACATCACGGTATGCATTGCATTGCCACGTTTTTTTCCCCTCCCTCATGCGTTTCTCAACTTGTGTTTTACATCTTATCCCCTTGATTTTGTTTGAATGATTCACGGCACCTTATTTAAATTGAACAATTATTTTGTGATGCTACCAAGTTGGTGCACAAGCAAATAACCTGCTGTGAAGAAGGTCCATTGCCTGAAACGTCACTTAAATATTTTTTCTGAATTGACAAATGGGAGTGTCTAATTTAAATTACATGACTAGAACATTGCTAATGCATAACTAGCACTTGAAATGATTCTTGCTAATTATTTAGATTGTCCGGGATTTCTGAATTATTTCCGCACAAGAAAATTGTAGGCATGCATAAAATGAATGATAACATTCACATATTAAATACCATACATGTTTAACAAGTCAGTAGAAGTGATGCTCAAGGAATCATGCTGTTGTACAAGTGTTAGGTTAAGTGGTTTTAATACAATAATAGTTCCAGCTATCATCATTCGGCTTCACAGAACAATGTCTCCAAATAAATTTTGAAAATAATACCGTATCCTGCAGATTATAGACGCTCCAGATGGTAAGACACACTTGTCACCGGCCACCATAGAAGCCAGTGGCCTAAGAGCAGCACAAACTGCATTTTAGTTTCTTGTTTAGGGTCTTTCCGGAAGCAGGAACGCATAGGTTTTTTCCCCCAAGAGTCCACACGACACTTCAGCTGATGAAAAGTGTTCCGTTGGATTCCAGTTAACCACCTTCGATCCTCCGAAACTTCACATGGGCTTATATTTAAAGCCTGCGTGTTCAGGGAAATCTTGAATTGTCAATGAGTGGGAGTGACGGTTAATGTGACGGTTAATTAATAACTTACACATTAACGGTGCTTAAACAGCATCACATTGAATCACTCAATAGACTGATGTACCGGTAATCGATTGTGTAGAAATCGAACACCGGTGTCGTCAACAGTTACTCCACCCCCCCCCGCCCTAACCCCCAACCTCCCCCCCTCACCCCCTGGCCGTATTTTAACACTAACGCTAGCCCAGGCGGGTTGACAGCGTGGCGTGTGTGTGCCGTCGTGCGTGCGGCCAGCCATCGCCAGCATTCAGGGGCTGTACTCGCTTCTGGTGCAGACGCAGAATCCTGCTCCGTACAGCCCTCAACTACGCATAGGTACGTCTGCGCGTCCGTCCATCTGCTTGCAGAAGCAAGCAACACTCGTCAAGAGTTCAAACAAAGAGAACAAAGCAGTTTATTCGAGGAAACCCGTTCACTTACAACAAATTCAGATTTCTTCGGTGTAATTAAACTAAACACTTGTTTTATTTTACCAGGTGAGGCCCACTGAGCTCTATTCTTATTTTTCAGAAGCGACCTGGCCACAAATGATGGCTCGACAAAGGGGATCACGTGTAAATTTATAGCAGCCAAATTCTCTCAACTCGTGTTGATTGTAAATGTGGAGGGAAAAACCCGGAGAACCCGGAAAAAAAATTCATACGACCACTGGGAGAACATGCAAACTCCAAATATTAGGTGTCAGGGTTGAAATCAAACCCACGACCTGTATATTGGGTGAGGTAGTTAACATCTCGCCACCACGCAGCCCATTTACCAACACCACCATCATCATCAGCAGTGATCAGTCCACTTTTGGACAAAAGCCTCCCCAAGTGGTTGCCATCTGTCACGGTGCTACGATCTAACGATCCACTCGGCACACAAGCTGGTCACGTCACGTCACCTCTTCCATTCTCAGTCACTTGCAACTCTGATGCTTTAAATAAAGCGTCAACATTTTCAAGTGCTTTTTGAATGAAAAGGGCATCCCCTGTTAATTTGCTATAGTGTTTTTAACGTTTGCCCAATGGCCAAACAATTAAAATAGTGCCTTTTTTGTTTGTATCGTAAATAAACTATTAAGTCTGTTTTAATAATAAGTAATCCGCCTATGGTCTTTTTAGAAGTTACTCAATTTTAACTTATGATGTTTATTTACAAATCACCTCTTTGCTGTGTTTTATTTGTTTACCAACAACGACAATGTGCAGTATTTACATTCTCCATTATGTTTGTTCGTGTAATTTTTATTGCCATTTTCACCGATCTCATTGAACGTTCTTCCGAGCAGTGCTTACCTGGTTGTAATTGAGATGGAATTTTATAAATAAGTTGTTCTGGAAGGCGCAGACTCTGCGGCCGGTGTCACGATTTTGAAGCGAGTTGTCTTTTTACTCCACAGAGAAATGTGATGTCTCCACCAAGCTCTCACAGCTGTGCTCACACGTACAGGTGAGAAGACCAGCTAGTGGGCCCCTTTAAAGATTACGCAGCACCTTCCCTATGTGTACATATTCACATGCCTTCGTACACTTGTGCATGTGGGGCCGTGTGTGTGTGTTCACATGTATGCACATCCGTGTTTGTGTATGCATGCGTGTGTCTGCGTGTCTGTGTATGCACAGGCACGCGGTAGTGTAGCAGTTAGCACGCTGCGCTACGAAGCCGGTGACCCGAGTTTGATTCCCGCTCACGGCCAACACCAGTGACGAATTATCTGTACCGGCCCTGGGCCTACCCTAGGCCGACTCTGCCTCAAATGAGTACCTTGTGCGGTGTGTAAACATCGCCACTGGGGAGACACCCATCCCCTCGTGTGCCATGCCAGGCCTTCGTAGGGTGTTCGCTAACTGTACTTTCCCCACCAGTCTGTTAAGGCTATATGGGGGGGGATCTTTATCTTTATAACACGCTTACACATACGCGCGTGTCTGCATCTGCATGCGCTTGCTCCTTGCAAACGGACCCAGGGCCTGACCAGTGCGGAGGAGCTGGTGGAGGCCATCACAGTGGACCTGGCCCAGCTCTGCTCGCTGCTCATGGCGCTCTGGGCGCAGTTCCTGCAGAGCGTCGCCCTGCGCCCCGACGTCACCGGCCACCTCGCCTGTGAGCACCACCACTCGCGGGTGAGCGGGGCCGGTGGAACTTGCGCGCGTTCGATACATTTTCTTGTTGCGCTAGCGACGGTCGCCGCCATGAGGCTACGGCGATGCGTCGTGCGACTATAACGTAACGTCCGAATGCGTCTCGCCTTGTCGGTTCTCGTAAGCTACGTTGGGTTTAAACTTGGACGGTGCTTTTTTGAGTGACCACACATGAATAATTTTCCCCACAGTGACGCGACTGATTATTTGAACCGCGACTAAGAGGTTGTCATGGTTTCTGGGAGTACGTGGGCAGTATACAGCAAACTGTTGTTGTACTGTTTTTTCTATCCTCCCACGTCTACGCTTCCCTCCTTCACCAACCCTCACCGGCAAGTTTGCTGAAGTAGTAACACCCTTGACCCACACGGCGTGGGGAGGCCCTCGTTAAGCAGTGGATTTACAGAGGCCTGTGCATTTACACTCAGCGCCGTGATGATGAATTTTAACAGGCTTCGAGTTTATTTTGATTTACCAGGCGAGAAGTCGAGCGCTACCAGGAGGGGACCTTGATTACTCCTCTAGTTTGTTGTCCCCCACACCTCCGACGAGCACGGTTGGCTACGTACGGTGCGAAAGAAATTCAACAAACTGCTGCTGTACGATTACCCAGCTGGAGTAATAGGGCTCGCCGGCTAACGTCGGATAACTGTTTTGCCCTTCAGGTTCGCAGGTTCTCGGAGGCGTTTTTCTGCATGGAGCACCCCCTGCAGTCGGCGCTCACTTACCAGGAGATGCAGTAAGGGCAGCAGCCTTCGTCAGGCACTGACCACACGCACGGGTTTTGTAAACTTTTGTTTAGCTGTGACAGTACAGCGAATGCGTTTGCAAACCGTGAGGCAGTGTTGACCTCTGCTTGAGAATCATTGAATGTTGTGAGCAAAGCACTCTGCCTTGTTGGCCAGTGTGTCAAGAGAGTGTACAACGATTTAATATGTGTATTCAGACATGTAGAGGCTTTGATGTAAATTTAGTTTCCACTGTTGATTTCTCCATATTGATTTAATGTGGTATCTATAAAATCGAACCACCCTTTTATGTATGTAATCTGAATGCAGCATCACGTCACCTATCCGATTCACCAGGGAACACAGTGGCAACCACGGTGGCGAGACAACTACCTTGCCTCGTATACAGGAGGTCGTGGGTTCCATCCCAACCCTGACGCCTGTATATTTGGAGTTTGAATGTTCTCCCTGTGGTCGCGTGGATTTTTCTCTGGGTCCTCCAGTTTTCCCCTCCACATTTAGAATCCGCGTGCGTTTAGAGTATTTGGCTGATATCCATTTCCACGTGATAAGCCACTTCGTTGAGCTATCATTTGTGGCCAGGTCGCTTCTGAAAAAGAGCTATATAGCTCAGTGGGCCTTACCTGGTGAAGTAGAAATTGCTTAATAGTTTTAGTTTAGGCGGCGGTTATATAAAGAGATGAGATTTGTGAACACCTAGAAAAAATTACAGGTACACCACCGTGTGCAACGACGTCACGTAGAGGGCTGGGCAACCTCCTCCACGACGAAGCTGCGGGGGTGACCATTGTAGTGAGAGCATGTCAATGTAAGGTCGTAGAGTCACCTGCCACATCAAGGAAAACGAGCAACGGTGGCTGTGTTAGTGAGACATTTAACCTGTTAATGTAAAGGCATTTTATAACCTGTTAATGTAACACCAGATAGTCGAAAATAACTACTAAACATCACAGCCAGTTATGACTTAACCTGATTAATAACGTCCTTCCAATGATTGCTCAGTTTGTACCCATCTTCTCGGTTGAATTGTGTCTGTGTCTATATATCTGGATGGCTTCATGAATGAATCTTTGCTGATAGCCAGTGGGTTTGCAGAGTACCTTCGTCTTGGCAAAATCAATTTCGTGTGTGCCCACAGCGTTAAAATAATGATCAGCCATGGCCGAGGTATTGGTCCTACCGTGTTTCAGGTCTGCCTTGTGTTCATGAACACGGTCCGAGACATGTTGCTGAGTTTCCCCAATGTAACTGCTGCTGCAGACACAGCTTAGTTTGTAGACGCCAGAGTATTGCATATCAGGGATCACATCCTGCACAGATGGGATCAGATCACGAATTTTATGTACCGTGTTGAATCGAACCTGTATTTTGTGTTTGCTCATGATCTTGGAAATCTTTTTGGTGACCCCTGCTATGTATGGCAAGGTGATGGTTTTGATTGGTTCCTCAGATGGTTCTTTCCCAATAGTTGGGGTGATAGCTTTACGGATTGTGTAGTCTGAATATCCATTTATCTTGAGGGCTTGGTGTACGTGTTCCAGTTCACTGGCTAGGTGGTGATGGTCAGAAATAGATCGACCTCTATGGTGTAGAGTTTTGATGAGGGAATTATTCTGGGATTGATGGTGGTGGGAGTCAGGTTTTAGGTAGGCATCCGTATGGGTAGTTTTCCTGTAGACAGTGTCCCATTGAGCCATCTGGTCTCTTTTCGATTAAAACATCCAGGAATGGTAACTTGCCATCCTTTTCCACCTCCATGGTGAATTTGATGGCTGGGTGTATGGAATTGATGTGGTTGAATAATTGGTCCAGAGCTGGTAGGCCATGTGGCCAGATGACGAACGTGTCATCTATGTACCTCTTCCAAAAGGAAGGACTATTGCTTGCGTTGCGATCGAAACGTCATGATATTTTTTATTATTTTTCCTATCTAGGTAGCTTTACCGAAAGACCCAAAGAATATGAATTCCTGCAGTCACGACAGCTTTAAGTCAAGATGTGACTGGACAAATCTATATGAAGAGCAAACTGCTTTAAACATGGGGAAGTCGCTTTTCCTTAATTGTAGCAGTAAGCAAATGTACGCGAGATGAGAAATACATGAACGTATGTAAAGAAGCCGTATTTGCGAATGCCTATAGAAAATGACAGTTGCACCATGCAGAAACACTGCGCTGGGTGTGGGCTGTTAATTGGTCGGGGCGGATATGTGACAGTCGAATGTGTGACGCCGTACTGAATATACTCGCCTGTGTGCGCGGGTGTAGTGCTGTGTGTAAACATCGCCACTCGGGAGACAAACGCCGCCGGGCGTTTGTCGTGCCGGCCTTCATCGGTGCTCGCTGACAGCACTCGCTCCTACAGTCTGTTAATGTTATACGGGTGGTCTTTGTCTTTGTAGTGCACAAAGCCACGCATACATTGCCTCGGTGGTTAAGAACTCCCCGTACCTGAGCAGCCTGCCCAACCTTCCCCTCGAGTGCCTGGAGCTGGATGGGGACTTCACTTCACTGCCCATCATATTTGAGGACCGGTACCTTCACTCCGTGACCCAAGGTGAGACACGAGTAGTGTGTGCGGATGAAAACCACCTCCCTGCTCCTCCTGAACCGTTCGTTCACGTAAGAACTCTCTTTTAGTTGCAAGTGGTTGATGCGGCAGCTGGTCAGACGGAGCCATGAAATCGGCTCATGCGTGCAGGCGTAAGGTGGATTGTTACATTGCGCAACTGAACGATGGCGAGGGCTTGGAGGAGGGCCTACGTTCTAGCAGTGGAGCGAGTTTGGATGATGGTAATGGTTCAAATAGATTCATTCCCAGGGTCCCGGCAGTGCCGGCGTCGTGCTCCATCTTGGTATTAGCCCCCTACCAAACTGCAAGTGAAAGCTGTTGGCACAGAGCATGAGCATTAGAAGGGAGGACTTTCTATACATTCAGCCAACCATCGTATTTGAGCCCAAACCTGCGAGGCTCGTGTCCGGATTGGCCGTCTCATGATGCACAAATCTTGGCTCAGGAGATTGTAATTTCCGGGGGGTTTCACACTCGCCGCTGTAGACACAAGAGGAGTGGGTGCTTTGCACTGCAACGGTTTGGTGTTTTTTTATTTCATTGCAGCTGCTCCTTAGCGATCGAGGAGTGTCAAGCTCTCGCAGGCCCGAGAGCCCTGAGATGTGTTCAGCGAAGCAGGGCTTCAGCGATTGGCCGGTGGCCAGAAACCATTCCACCGGCTGCACGAGATTGGCATTCGCTGAAGATTTATTTGTGGGGAAAAAAAAAAAATCGGTAATGCATAGAGCGGCAGTTGATGGTCCATTACGGCTTATTCAGCTGGGTGTGTTAAGTGCAAGTGCCATTTGGAAGATGGGTAGAGGGGCGGAGAGGACGAAAGCAAGGTCTCTCTGCTGTTTATTTCAGCGAGCAGTGGATGAACAACCAGGTTCAGCATTCTTGCTCGCCCATATTACTGATTGTGCACCTATGAGCTGTTATTGATTTACACTAAGCATCCATAAAGTTTCAAGTGATATCGACTCTCCTGTTCAATTCATAGAATATGTTGTTGTCCACACACTAATGTTTATTGGAATTACCATCCTTTTACGCTATCCCGTGGGTGGCATGGTGGCATCGTGGTTGGCTCAATTGCACTCTGAAGCCAGATCTGCGTTCGACTCCCAGCCATGGCTAACATCGGTGGCGATTGTAATCACAATCTGCACTGACCAGCACTTTAAATGATCCCCGCAAGACTGACACTGTGTGAAGGCCTTGATCCAGCTGTAGATCGACAAAGGGCTGTCATTTATTATTTTACGCTTCTCCGTTGTTTTTGGGAGCAACACTGTGAAGTGCGATCTCTAACTACGTCGGTCAGTCTTTCTGTTCACCCTGTGCAAACAAGTGGAAGCGCTTGCCAATTCCGCCAGTCGGAGCCAAGTGTTTTAAGCACCGCCGCTGCCATTTTCCAAATTCTCTTCTATTTCTTCTGGAGACGCTGGGATGGACCTGGCGGACGCCTCCATCTCCTGGAAGGAGGTGCGGGAGAATGCACGCCGCTCCTCCTTCACCATCAAGATCGAGCGGCCTGAGAACCGCGAGCAGCGCCGTACCACTTCCTTCTCGGGCGGCTCTCCCCGTTCCGCCACCCGCCAGCGGTCGCCCAAGCTTGGTGGCGGCACCGGAGGAGGAGGAGGTGACAGCCGTTCCCCGGTGGAGCCACGTGACGCCACCGACGGCGTCGTGAGGGCGAGGCAGCGCAAGGCGGACGAGCTCGGCGCCAGGTTGGTGCCATCTCTGCTCCCATGTTCCCAATACGATGATAGTACAACAATTTTTATTTTCACATGTGCAAGTCTCCCAAAATGTAAACATTTAATGATCGCAACTCGTAGGCACGGAGCCACGCGCAAGAGTGTACCGTATGCTCGTCGGAAAAGATGTTGCCATCAGCTGCTTCCTGAAGCAAGGGGAACTTGGATGCTTCCTGAATGCACATGACAGGAGACGGGATGGCCTTGGACGAAATAAAATCATGGAAAGTGCCAAACCAACCATTTGCTTCCAAAGCACAGGATCACCGGCATGTGCCATTACACCCAGCTCAATGGATATTGGTTATTATTTTTGTTTTTGTAAGGAATATCTTTTGTGTTCAGTGTGAATTTCATCGATAAAAAGAAGAATACAGCCAATGAGGTTATCTTTGTGTAACCCTCTTACTTGTACCTGTTGTTCATTAACAGCCGGCGGAAAGGTGGCAGGGGCAGCAGTGGAAATCTCACGATCGGGTCGCCTTCAACCGACAGGCCAGACGAAGATGGCTCCGTGGTGTTACTCGGCTACCGGCATCTGGAGGGTGACGCCGCAACGGGTGACGCAAAGCTACAGCTCCCGCCCCAACACTCGCCCCAGCGCTCGCCCCAGCCCTCGCCCCAGCGCACGCTGGACGCCGACCAGCGCTACGCCACGCTGCCGGCATCTCTCGCCAAGCGGGGCAGCTTCTCCAAGGCCTCCTTCAAGAAGTACTTGAAATCCGACCATCACAGCAGCTCACCCGAGGGCAAGGCATCCAAGGCGGCGGTGCCCACAAAATGCTTTCCCAGCCCTAAGAAGTGCGCCCCCTTCGGAAGTCCGGAGGGATCTCCCAAGGCAGCCAATTCGAAAGCTGAAGCGGCCGACTTAAGCGAGTCGGGGATAAAGGCGCTGTTTTCGCACGGACTCTCGGGCTTGAAGCATCTTGGCCAGGCCGGCTCGCAGTCACGCACCTCCTCCGAGACGAGCTTGCTGCGGAACAAAACGGACGAAGCCAAAAGCGCCGCCGTGCCCTCCGCCGTGGGCCTGACGTACCGGCCCCACCCGACGCGATCGCTGTCGGTGACTGTCGTCCGACCCGAGGCGGGGCCGGCCCCGGCGTCCGGACTGCGGCGGATCGAAGTGACGCCTAGCCGCAGCGACCCGTACCGTGGAGAGAAAGTGACGCTGCTCACGCCCACGAGGACGCACGCCGCTCGGGGTGAGCGCGCGACGGAGCAGGCGGTCACGCTGCCTTCCCTGGACCCCGTCTCGGAGCCATGGTCGCCAGACTACACCAAGAGTTTGTTCTTCACCCTGCCGCGTGACGTGAAGGGCGGCAACAAGCGCACGAAGCCGGAAGAGACCGTCGCCCAAGCTCCGGTGTCAGAACGCAGCACGGTGCCCTCGATAACCGGCGACGTGTCCCTGCTTAAAAGCTCCTCGCTCGCGTTCTCCGACTCTGGTATTGAGAGCGAGATGAGCTTCTGCCTCATCGGGGCTACGTCACTCGAGGATCGCAGCTCCCAGGCGGTTAAGGTCCCAAGCCAAGAGGTGCCCCAGGGTCACGTGACGCAGAGGCCAAAGGGCGCGTCGGATGCGCCGCAGTCGCGACACGAAGCGAACCTGACGCGGGCAGAGAGCGCCAGCTTCCTGAGCAGCGGCGTGCAGTCGTCGCTCGCCTCCATCAGCTCCCTGCCGTGCGACGAGGATGCAGCCGGGGACGTGCTGCTGTCCCGCGCCATCAAGTCCTCGGCCTCCATGCATTTCGGCGTCCTCGCTTCCTCCTCCCCTCCTTCCTCCTCCGGCCGTGCTGCAGAGCGGTTCGAAAAGCCCACGACGGAGCCGTGCCTCAAGCACGACGTGGCGCTCAAGCTGTCTCGCTCGGACAACGCGCTCAACATCATTACGCACTCCGCCGCGGAGTCGCTCGCCTTCTCAAGCGAGCAGGACCAGCGCGCGAAGACGGACTGCGCAGCTGGGGCAGGTTGCCCCCCCTTCCCTCGCGGCGGCAACAACAACAACAGCGCCACTGGACTCTGCATCGTGGAAAATCACTTCTCGCCACGAAACAGCGGCGGCGGCGCAGGCGGCGGCGGCCACCCTGATGCCAGCGGCAGCGAGATGAGCAGTCCCTCGAAGGGTGAAGCGGAGCGAACGAGCGGGGATGGGGAAGACTCGGACACCGAGACAGAGGACCTGGAGATGATCCAGAATGGCTACTACGACGAGGATGAGGACAGGACGGCGTTCGACAGCGCGACGGAAGACGGCGCGCTCAGCGACAGCTTCTCGCCCATGCACGGCAGCAGCGTGATCCTCAGCCAGAGTGCGACGGTACTGAAGCCCATCGGCGGAACATCGCCCTCCTTCGACGGCGGGGTAGGAGGCGTGCCGTCTGACAGTTCGACGGGGGCGGCGATGCTCGCACCCCCCGGCACGGGCGCTTGCGTCGGCTGCACACCGACCTGCCTGGCGTTTTCGTCAGCGCCACGTGACGCAGACACTTCGCCCGTCCACTCCGGGATGACGGTGGCGCGGAAGGCGATGGGTGGTGGTGTCGGGGGCGGCGGGGGCGGTGGGGGCGGAGGCTCCACAGTTCAGGGTTCACGCGCCCAACTGCTCCACCCCAGCCCCGAGACACCAGAGGCGATGATTATCACAAGGCAGCCAATTTCATCGGCCGCCCAGGGATCGCCCTGGGGTCAAGAAGACGTGGATGACAATCCGCAGCTGCAATGGTAATTCCGCTTTAAATGTCACCGTGCGAATGTTTGCTTTGTGTCTATAGTTATCTTGGGTAGAATGTTTGACTAAATTCAAACTGGTGTCGGTTTTTTTGGTTCTGATGTATGGCCAATGTGTTAGTCGGGTTGTATTGTGTGTTGTCCAGTTTGATGTCCCAACGTTTTGCTCCACTTCCTGGGTGCATCTTCAAGTTCAGCTTAAACTCTATTATTCGACACTCATTATTACAATTTCTACAATGTTTTTAACAATGTGGAGCTGTCGATCGAAATGACTACTGATGTAAACATTTACTATTTATATTGTTGTTATTGACTGGTACGAGTGAACGCCGCCGGTTGGCACCCCTTGCAGAGAAAGTTGTTGACGTCCCAGGTCAAAGTTGTCGCTTAATGCTTCATGTCACACACTCTTCACTTCTTCTTTCCCTCGGCGTTTAAAATTAGCGGTCGAGTTCATAACTGTACGTCGAGCCTGGAAAGCCATTCGGTGGCAAAGCTCCGTGCTGATGTTCCCCGCACGTGTGTTAACGCTTAAACCCCAGCTTCATGCGAGCGAAGGAGGAAGTGAAGAAGCAACTCAAGTTCCCGGGCTTCCTGTACAGCGACCAGGCGACGTTCGCCTCGGCCGTGCCTTACTTCGCGCCTGAGACGCCGGACGGTCTCGGCGACGCCGACGCCATTCATCTGGTGGTGTGCGTGCACGGCCTGGACGGTATGAGACATGCGTTCGAATGTCACCGATGCGCGTGCGCAAGGGAGCGTCCATCAATGGGGCCCGGCCGGCACGGGAGGATGATTGCGTCTCTGGGCCGATGCTTCTGAGATCCTGAAGTTGTGTGGCCGGTATGTTATCGCCGGCAAATGGGCCTCCCTAAGGATGCCCCCGCAACTCTTTTCGTGATTGCGCCACAACGGCAGCCCCTCCAACCCCCCAATGATCAACGCATGATTAGCACGATGGGTTTTAGCGCTATAATAATAACACGAGGCTATCCAGATGGCGCTGCGTTTCACAGATGATGATGCAGTAATTTCACGGTCGGCTTTTGACAGTGTGTTATATGTGGCTTTCCCTGGGACTCGCGAATGGGCCTCCGTCCCCCCTGGGACTCGTGAGTGCTGCCCTGACTGTCCCCCGCAGCTCGTTGTCCTTAATGTTGTCGATGCTAGCGCCCCAGTTTTTTGGTTGCTTTCTGGCCTGTTTTCTGTGTTTCCCTGCCCTGACCCCACCTCTCCCTAGACCCCACTTTCTCTGTCTTCGCGTAGTTTTGTTTTTTGTGATTGCATTTCGACGCTGCGCAGCGCAACTGCTAAATACTATGCGGTAGCGTCACTGCCAGCCTGCTTTTTGTGCCGTTGTTTAGGGAACAGTGCCGACTTGCGTCTGGTGAAGACCTACATTGAGCTGGGCCTCCCAACAGCCAAGATTGACTTCCTCATGTCAGAGAGAAACCAGGTGAGGTATTGTAAATAGGAGTGTGGATATTTCATCATCTAGGACCCATATTGTAATGAGATGGTCCTTGCCTCGTAAAAAGCATCAGTTCACCAACATTGATTCAAGCAAGTCTGACTGCTGATGAGACACTGCATGTTGAAACCGGTCCAGAATTTGCTCGTCTTGCTGAAAGTATGCACTCCCAGAAGGCCATGGTATGGCTGATGGGTTGTGTAAGGAATACTTCAATGTTTTGTACGTGCAGAGACAGATGTGAAGATGTGAACCTTATGGCGGTACCCCGGCTCTCACATAATGATTCGTGATGCAGTCATTTTTAGTCTGTTGATGGTCGGCGATGCGGCAATCGACTCATCTCGACGAGCTGTACACGATGCACCGCTACGGTGCGTACGAGCGTTCAGGGTTTTGGCGCAATCGTCCTCGCTGCGTTTCGACATCACGGAGTAGCACTGATGTCGGATTGATTGGTACCCCAGTTGCACCCCTGGAAAAAATAGTCTCCCAGAAATAAAATATTTAATTGGCTCCGCCATTTTTTATTATTTGGCACCCCGGGGTATCGCCTTAAGGATCATGTATCCTCTGCTTATTTATTCAATTGTCAGATCAAAGGTAACACTTCTATGTAATTTGAACTTCATTCACATGAACTGCAAACCACACTTCTTTCAAATGGTACTGTATTGAAATTTGTGGAGTGGTCTGTGAGTTTGCCAGCAATACAGATTAACTGCTTGCTTCATAAATATGTTTCGGTAATTTTAATGCCCAATTTCTTCGTCAAATTGTGAGAGAGAAAAAAAAATTTACCCGAATATAACGAATATTTTCTTAAATTGAGTTTCAACAACGTAAAAATTGCACAAAGTCACATGTTATGACTTGGCACCTAATGGTTGTGAGTTTCTAACTTTGCGCCGAATGAGTCGCTGGTGAGTAATGAGAGCCCTGCATCCCCCCGCCGGTGTCTGTCTGTCTGTGTGCATGTGCGAACGCCAATCAGAACGACACATTTGCCGATTTTGAGACGATGACGGATCGCCTGCTGGATGAAATAGTTCAGCACATTCAGATCTACAGCCTCACGCTGTGCAAGATCAGGTCGGTACACTGCTTCAATATAGCCGGATAAATATATTAGACGTTAAAACGTCGTGACGTGCTTAAGAACATACAATAAGTCCTCATTTACTTCCGGCAGGCTCCTGCATTGGGACGTTTGGCCAATGCCAATGACGTATGCTACTGGACATGTATGAATAAGTATAACCCGTAAAAACAAAGTTTTTCACTCTAAATCCTTTATATGCGTGGCGGCTAGAGTCCTCTCGTCCTCTGGCTTGAGATTGCTGCCACCTATGGGTCAGATGATTGTCTGCAGTATTAAACAATTGGTAATTAAATATTTAATTTGTTTTCCCTAAACAGTGTAAAATTTTGGAAAAAAATTTTCACGAACATTAATTGTCTCGCACAACGAGTCTGTGTGCAAAATGTCAGCTCGATTGGATCACGGGAAGTGGGTTAAAAAACGACCGAAAGGTTTGCACGGTCGTAAGCAAGCAAGCAAGCGAACTTAATATAAAGGATTTAAAAAGAGCTGTATAGCTCATCAGATTCTTCCAGTATAAATACATATTCTGATATTCTTAGCTGTGGACAGAAACCGGAAAACCCAGAGGACACCCATGTAGAACATGGGTGAGAATATACAATCTCCACGCAGAAAGGCGACCGATTCAGGAATCGAACCCAGGTCCTTGCTGTGAGGCATGGGTGTTGCCAATGCGCTACCCTGCCTACCTATGGAGGCTGCATGTAGAAAAACCTTTTTAGTGACTAGTGTGTTTTTTATTACATCTGTACTATAATTAACTTGTCAGTTATTTTCTGCGTGTAATGGATGCTGCCGTTCTGTAATGGTTAGCACACTGGACTTGCAATCCAGAGGCCGCCGGTTCATTCTCTCGTTGCAACAGTTGAAACAACGAGGTAATTTTATTAAATTCCCCCCTTTCATTTCCGTACAGCAGTATAAATGAGTACACCACAGTTAGTCAATCGGTAGATCGCATGTGGTGGGTTAGAGTGTGGGGACTGCCACGTCAGGCCGCCGTTGAAGAATAGGCCACAGATTCCCTCTTGAGGGGCTCTCTGGGAGTTCCCTCTCATGGAGGCCCTTCTAGCAGCAGTGGCGTGAGCAAGCAATAATCAGGGCTTGGGCCTTTACCTAGTTAAAATTCATTATTGCGTAAAAGAAAGTTTGTGAAGATGAGTTTTTTGTCACAATTTCCTTCAACATTGCAGCACTCGTGGATTTTAAGCGGACCAGCATCTCGCTGCAGTGCGGGGCTTCTCACTGATGTCGTTCTTTTTGATTTTCTCCGCTGCTGTAGCTTCATTGGACATTCGCTGGGCACGTTGATCGTGCGCTCGGTGCTGACAAGGCCACGCTTTCGCTGCTTCCTACCCAAGCTGCACACCTTCCTGTCACTGTCCGGCCCACATCTCGGCACCCTCTATAACAGCAGCGCGCTCGTCAACACTGGTACCGTCCGCTCGCTCGCTCACTCACGCATTCAGTCAATCGCTCACTTGGTCATCTGCTCACTCACTCATTCCTTCACTATCTTGCTCATTTACTCGCCAAAAATAATTGTCCCTATAATTATTGTTATGATCACAATTAGTTTTTTACACACATCTCAAACATTTATAAGGGCAATCCTAGTGGCAGCTGTCCCTGTGGGCACAAGGTGACTCGGCATTTGGCCAGAAAAGGGGCATCAGTCTGGAGGTATGGGGCGACGATTGCTGCTTTGTGTAATCCCTGTTGATTTATTTATTGATGCACAAAAACTGGAAAGCATGCTCCTAGCAGCGTCTCTCTGCCAACTGACAGCGTGCACGTAAGGTAACTCTTTCCAGGCTTGATTCTTTGCGCTGCGTCATCGATCATCAATTGTTTGTACATCGTGTGTGCGTCTGTGCGTCAGGGCTGTGGTTCATGCAGAAGTGGAAGAAGTCTGGATCGCTGCTCCAGCTGACGTGCAGAGACCATCCTGACCCTCGGCAGACCTTCCTCTACAAGCTCAGCCAAAAACCAGGTGCCAGTTTTGCCCCACATCGTCTCATTTGGCATACGACCAAATTTGTTCTAATTGCCTTCTGACTAAGGTTGAAAGCATTAATGCATTGGCCGTTTCTGTCCCACTGTAATGGGGGAGGGGGGGGAAGCATTACACCTCTCAAAAAGATAATCCGATATTCTGGACTTGCCCTTTTCAAAATAGCCCAATTGATCAAAAGAGTTGCTCCTAATTCGGTGAAACAAACCACAGCGGGAAAGGACGATTTGCAAATATGCGGATGTATTTCGCCCCAATAGTCTTTCTGCTTCTGCATTAAGTAAATTATTCCAAAGACAAATGAGTGTTAGAAGGCGTTGCATAGTCCATGGGGGTGCGCATGATTGCATAACGCTTGTTATACTACATACTTGTACAGTAATAATAATAATACTGTACGTAAATATAAATAAGTTACTACTGAAAAAATGCACCAATCGTCTCAGTGGAATTGGGAAATAACTTACGTGAATAAAAATAAAGAATGGATTCTTACACTCGTGATTTGACGCGCGTGTATTCTGAGCGTAAGAATCGATTTTTAATCTTAATCGATGGTTCGCTAGACGTTCCATTCTGGATAGCAGGGGTTATGTGATCAATTCCTTGGTCAATTCTGTTTTTTAGCATTCCACAGGCGATGGCATCATATGGGTTTTTAACTGGCCTTCAATGAGATATGTCAGCATTCTCCAGCCAAACCACACTTGACACATTTTAGCCTTCCACGCTCCAGAAACATTTTTAATAGCTGCTAAAAAGCAAAGTTAAAACGAGTGTTGTTTGTTTTAGTTTTTTGCGTTGTCGATAATTGTATGTAAGATAAAAAAAAATGTTAAACTGATTATCAGTTTACTGACCACTAACCAGCACTGACTCGCATGGTGAATTATGGTCAAATAAGCTCCATGATTGACACGGCGCAGTGAGGCCTGGACTGGCAAACGTTTTCTGTTTTGATTGATATATATTGAGTATGTAATAGGGTGTCACGTGACCCGTCGCATGCAAACGCGATGTGCGGTTTCGACAACACTCGCGTTACATCGTTTCTAAAATCCAACTGGATTCCATTGTAGATTCCGTGACTTTCGGGCATCGATAACTGAATCTATAAACGATTATTGACACGATCGATTATCGATATTATAACCCCGCTTAAAATCCGCTGTAGGTTTATTTCGCACGTGCTCGTCGTTGGCTGTGTTCACGTGAGCGCGTGCGTAAACTCGCGGTTCTATCCTGCCCCCAACCCCCCCCCGCCTCTAGGCCTGCAGCACTTCAGGAACGTGGTACTGGTGGGCTCCCTGCAGGATCGCTACGTGCCCTACCACTCGGCTCGCATTGAGATGTGCAAGCTGGCGCTCAAGGATAAGCAGTTGGGTGAGTGGCTGGACCTCCGCAGGCCCTCTTTCCCGCGACCCTTTGTACACGTACAGCCCGCTGACAATTTAAAACCGTTGTTACCCTTGAAATCGGTACAGGTGCTAGGCATATTAGTAACATCAAAGGCTGGTGAGAGGTGGCTTGGAGAGGCCTTCGTTCGGCAGGGGATTGATCACAGCTGAAGATAATTATTTTGTAAGAGGTGACGGGGGTGGTTTAGATGTCATATCTCTGCTGGTATTGCTGAGATCCCGGGTTTATAATCCACACAAGTGCCTGTGCTTAAACCGGCCTGCGGATCGACCGTTGCCAGCGATGACGATCGTGATATTTGTGTGAAACAGCCACGTTTCGTTGCCCCTCCCCACCTTGGTCCAGGTGCGGTGTACGCCGACATGATTGCGAACCTGCTTGGGCCCGTGCTGGCGTCCGAGCGGTGCCGCCTGGTGCGCTACGACGTGGTGCACGCGCTGCCCAACACGGCGAACTCCATCATCGGCCGCGCGGCCCACATCGCCGTGCTCGACTCCGAGCTCTTCCTTGAGAAGTTCCTGCTCGTCAGGGGACTCGAGTACTTCCGATAATGGCCTGGCAGGGCAGGGAAGGGGGGGGAAAGAGCTTGCCCGAACAGATACGAGCACCGCGCGTCATCTCTCTGGAGAGACGCCAGCCGTTGGCTCGTGGCTCCTGGGGACGGGGGCGGCCGTCGATCGGTTGCGCTTGTGTGGTGAAGGTCAGCGCTTGAAATCGTTGAGGTAACATCATCATTCTCACGTTTGTTATTCGCGCAGTTCTCAGCGCAAAGGCTTATGCAGAAGGCGTTGGGTTTCGCAGACGAGAATCCGCAGTGGTTTACCCAGGTCACTCTCGCAAACGAGACTGTCCTGGTGTCTTGAACGAGTTCTTGCCTCGTTAAAAAAAATACGAAGGAAATGACTTGAGAGTAGGAGGGCGATGTTGCCCTGCGCTTTTGCCCAATTAGGTCATTTGCAAGTGACGTTTTTAGATTTGGAACGTGACGCCAGCACAACATGGCCCACACATTTTTTCGAATAACGTCACGGGGGGTCTATGGTGACACGTATTTACGATTTAATAGGGTCCCGCGGTATTCACCAGGGGCGAACTTTTGCGACAAGCGGCAAACTGTCCACCGCTCTGGCACGTTCGCGGCCCAGCTCGTGCCAGTGCGCTGCGCCGTTTCAGCTTAAGGCCTTGCGCGTCCGTCCACTGCTCCGCTGAGTTCCAATTCTCTTGCTGTTGTGTAATAAGCCAACGTGGAGCAAGGCAGTGGGGGGGGGAGGGGGTATGCATGATGTGCAGTTGGTGGGCTACTACTTGGGCATGTAGCTTGCTGCTTTTCCCACAACTGGATTAAGACCGTGACTTAATAGTGAATAATTGCAGTCAAAGCGAGCGATTCTCCTCTCCGTCTCGTGCTGATGCAGCCGATTGTCTGTTCGTAACTCGTTTTGTGTTTTGACGCTAATTCCACTCCACGGAGATGCATTTTGGTTCCTATTTATCCCAGCTTTGGCAGGAAAATCTGCTGGTTTAGACGCCTCATGATAAGAGCACTGACGCCATGAGTTTTCCGTAGCTGAACGTGGCATGCACCATCATGATAGCATGCAAACACACAGAGGCAGCCACCTTCAATAACATTTGCTTCATACCATGAACAGAAAGAAAAAGATCCCCAATGCAGCATACACAAGCTGTTGGGGTAAGTACTGTTAACGTGCACCTATGAATTCTGGCACGGCACACAAGGTATTTACACACCATACCAGACACTCGGTTATGGTTGAGTCGACCTGGGAGCGGCCTAGGGACCGGTTCATATATTCCTCACCGATGTTGCCCGTGAGCGGGAATCGAACGCAGATCGGCAGGTCCGTAGCGCGGTGGGTCAACCACTGCACTACCACCAGCGTGCACGTGCGTACACGGAAGCGAAGTCATGCCTACACGCGCACACACACACCCAGGCAGCTGCCTTCAAGAGCATTCCAGCCACTTTCTCGGTTAACGCAGAATCAGCGCTACGCTTGCCAGCAGATGTTTACTTGTTTCTTTAAGTGATTCGCAAGTGTGAGATGATGTGTTTATACGTGTTTTGTTAAGCGGTCGTTAATTTTTGCGCAAACAGTCTCTTCATTCCAACCACAGCAAGAACCATTGGGGCTGCACCACAATTAATCGTGAGCAGTCGTATACTGTATTACAATTAGTTTTTTATCCTGTGGAGATCGGCTTTTATTTGCGCGTATCTGATACTGTGTGGTCGGCTTGAGCGAAGTCTTAACGATCGATACGACGAGTTCCGCAGAATGCGCTCTCCCCTTTGTCCTGTAACTGCCAAACACGCGAGTTATAACCATTCCGCATACTTGACGGCAATAATGCTGAACGGTGAAAACATTTACATAAATTTCAAGTCATTTGCCAAGCCCCAACCTCTGCTTTTCGATCAGCAACCACCCTCGTACGTTTGTCACCGGCTACTGGCGCCGGATGGCACATTTGTAAGATGCATATATTTTTTAACGTTACGTCGTCTTAATATATATGCGAGTCCATGTATATTGGGTAAGTGCGGGAGTCTGCGTGTGGAATATTGTGGACAGCACGGTGTTCGTTGCAGGTGGAGTAATTTAACGGAGGTGAGAGACAAGGATGGATTGTCAAATTTCACGTTTAAAGTACGGTATATATATAATGTAGATGTACAGTTTTTGAATGTAATATTGAGGATGTAGTGGACAAATATTTGATTCAGTGCTAATATTTCCGTTTACCAGGTCCGCATTCTAATGACCAAGCAGAGATGTCCTCTGTTGGACGTTTTTCGTTTTCAGACAGCGGTAGAGTTGGAGAGCCTCCCTCCCATTTAAGCTGTCTCGTTGTAATATCGGCAATGCGGATCGTATTAACTAACCCAATGCAGAGACGATATTTAATTTCGCGAAATACGGTCTCCGAATAATGGTTATTACTGTCCGTTCCTTCATTGATTAACAAACAAAATCAATCCACATTTCCGCTGTGATTGGTTGATTGAATTGTGGCGGCTGCTGCTGCTGTTTCTGCGACTGCTGCTTCTGTCCAACAAGATGGGCATTTCTTGCACGGTTCGGCAATTACATCCTACGCACAACCGTTAAAAGACGCAAAGATAAACATTTGACGTGATTACAACCACGTAGTTATTCCCAGTTGCGCCGTTAAGCTCTCCGATTTGTGTTGGGCACGATGTCCGGGCGTTTCGCTCCACGAGCCGGGAACATCCTGAAGTATTAAAATCTTTAAATCTCTCAACGACGAGAACTAATCGCAACAATTGGTGCAGGCCAGAAACCAAAAGTTTTGTCAACACACAAAAATACACACTGTGTATCACAGAAAAGCTCTAAGCCGTATAAATGACCACAGTGCAGTTCTTCTGAACAGGTAGTTTCCTAGATTTGAAGTTTTCGTGACTGCAAGGATTCATACTCTTTGGTTTTTTCGGTAAAGTCACGTGGGCAAAATTACTGTGACGGTTCCACCTGAAGACGGAAGCTTGTGTTGCCTCCGAAACGTGATTTTATTTATTAAACATTTTTTACCTACGTGATTTTACAGAAAAAACCAAAGAGTAGGTAGTTTCCTGTATAAGGCTGCGAGTTCTCTTGTACACGCAGTGCACACTTGTGCGTACTCTGAATTAATTCAAACTCCCAGGACGTGACGCGAAACGGTGGGACGTCACGCAGAACAACACGCGGTCCAACCCGAGCGAAGACCGCAAAGATATTGGACGGGACTAAATTGAAGCGTCAGGGGGTTCTGCCACAGTGGACCCGTCACTTTAACGTTGGTGCTGTAATGCTGCTTGGTTGTTATGTGTCTTTTTTTATGGAGTTATTTCGAACGTTTTTTTTTGTTTATATCGTTTTAGACTTCATGCAATGCATGAATCCCGACGGTGTGTGTTTATATTGTTGCGCTGCGTGTAACTTTTCTTACAGTGACGTCTATGGTTTACACTTGGCAATGCTTGTGGTCGCTCTGTTACGAGGTTATTTGCATTTCTCTTTTTTCTATCGAACGGTGAGGCTCCGGGGGTGTGGTAACTTTGGGTTTTGTGTGTTTTTTTTTCAAACTTCGCATCATTTTGAGCAAAAGCATTGTTGTGGATATGCACGTTTCTGCGGACGTTAGCGGATCTGGTCTGTGACTATGCGGTAAAGATGTAAACTAATTACTGGAACGAACATTTTAAACGTGACTATCGCCGTGCTCGAAGGATAATTGAGATGGTCATCGTCGGCATTGGTGGTATTGAGGCAGCGGTTGAAATTTCACATTTTCTATGGCGAGTGGAGACAAAGCGTGTTAAAGTTTCTTTTTTGTTTGACCAGGTGAGAGAAATCTCGGGAGCAGGACATCTCGTTTTTTTGGGCGAGTCGCCCGTGTCACCAACCTGACGAGCAAAGCCAACGCAGTACAGCACGGCGATGACGCGAATGGGAGTCGGTGCCAAAAGCAACCGTGTCGCATGCGGAATCGAAAATTCGGCAAAAACACGAATCAGTTTTTTAAATGATTAAGATATTGGATGATACAGGTTTTTTTTTGGGTTAGTTTGCGTAAATATATAAATGTGCTGTTAAACCCGCCACCACCCGACACAGCCGATGAGTAAGGTTTGTCACGTAAACAGAACGTGGCAATTCGTTAAGAGTACAGCACACCGGTGTGTTGGAGAGCCAAGCCACAACATTTACAATCAGATTGTAAATACAATCCACAACGTTTAAATGTTGTGGATTTTCTCTCCAACACACTGGTGTGCTGTGCTAGTAACGAATTGGCATGTTCTGTTTACATGACAAACCTTACTAATGGGCTGTGTCGGGTGGTGGCGGGTTTAAGGACACATTTATGCGATCTAACCCAAAAAAACTGTCTTATGGATGATATTGGTCACGAAAGCCTACATGTTAAACTGAATATATTGGTGATAAATTGACCCTGGGCAGGATTTAAGGCGAGGAGACTTGCTGCTCCGCTAACTGAGCTGTATCCCAGCGATAGCAATAATGTTATGATTATGTACACACACACACACTCCCTTTTCCAGTCCACTGCTGGGCGAGGAGCTGCGGGGATTGTATGGCCATGCTTCAACCGCGCTGGACAGCACAGAATTGGTTGAGCTGGAGAGCATAAATGTTGGAGCGACAGGGTACAGGATACAGCAGTTGATTTTGCTGTGCTTGCCCGGTCCCTCCTTGCTGCCCATCACGTGGCTCCACGGAAGCCTATAGCACCTATTTTTTTCACGTTGGACTCCCATCCGAACCCCTGTCCAGTGCCAACATTGCTTAGCGTCTTGGGATCTGACGAGATATCGGCTGCTGCTTTTTCAGGCGGTTTGGTCAAATGTGTTGAGGTGAGATGTATAGTGCCCTGAGACGCTTTAAACAAAACAAATAACACGTTTTAGATCGTTTAGGTTTCTCTTGCCAAAGCGAGCGGTCGTTTGAAAGGGACGTTTATTTTATGGTAACAGGTGTCAGTCACGCGAGACGAGGTTCATTTGTTTCTACGTGTCGCTTAAACGATCTGTTCACGAGCAAAGGCATCGCACGCGGCACGAACGACTGAATGATGTGCAGCACGCACTGGTAGGGTGTCTCGTTTAAATCCTTCTGCCTGGTTTTTGTTGTTGTTGTTCCGGAAGCCAGGTGATTATCTTAAGTATGCAGAACCCACAAGGTCAAGATATTGCGCGTCTGTGTAGATAATTAGATGTAAATGTATATTTATATATCATAAGTTCAGTCCATACTTAATAATGTGACGCTGCTAATGGTCAATTGGATGATGGCACATTGTGTCGCACTGTGTTTCTCTCAAATGTGCAACTCACCCGGTCGCGGATGCAGCCTGCCAGACTTGAGCAAGACAGAGGAGCAAGCTGGTCTTCTGCAGAAAAATACATTAACGTAAATATGGGTTTACATTTGCATGCGAGACTTGTGTTTAGTCTGTTGTCCTTCCCCCCGAACCTCCGATCTAGGGATGGTTGGCTACTTACGGTGCGAAAGAAGTTCAACATACATACGATGGCGATAGCGCGTTTACTTTTAAGCCGAGGTCTCAAGGTTTTGCGTTGTATCACTTTAAATGTAAGTCAAGCCATCCGTTTAATGTATATGGTGGGAGCTGAAGGGCGGTAAGGAGGTTTACATGAATGCATGCCCTCTCCGAACATTACAGTTTTGATCCAGATGTGGTTTTCAGTGATGGGCTACTGGTTGAGAAATTCGTCTTCAGGAGTTGAATCTGCAACTAAATTATCGATTTGATTTCTCGAGAGAAAGCAGAGCAGGGAGCACCAACAACATTTTTTTGTTTCCATATTGAATCTTCCAACTCCTGTAGATTTTCCGCAGTCGTGTGTGGCAAAAGCCCAACGCAGAAAAACAGCCACATTTGGATTCCAAATTGCACACGTTGATCATTACTTCTTCCACGTCGTTTTTTGTTATTCCATTGTTTGTACAAAAATGTCCTAGTGAAATGCGACGCGCGCACATTACGACACACGACGGACAATTCACGTGTACGGCAGAGGTCGCAAACGGGTTTTGATTCCTTACCCGTACCCGGCCGCACCAGGGTCGCAAATGGGTACCCGTTCCCGGCCGGGTACGGGTTCCCGTTCCCTACCCATACCCGTACCCTACCTGAAATGAGTAACAAACGGTTACTCACCAGTGACTCATGGCCTACCCGTACTCGGCCGCACCAGGGTCGCAAATGGGTACCCGGCCGGGTACGGGTAGCCGGATATCGGGTAGGGTACGGGTATCGGGTACCCGGTTGCGACCTCTGGTGTACGGTGTAGTGGAGAGCAGCAACGAGGTCGGTTGACTCCCAGACGTTGCGACGTTCCGAGTAGAAGGAAGCCGGCCGGATTCACGGGACACTCCACGAATTGGTTTCGATCGTACGGCTCGGTGGCATTGGTGTTTTTGACGCGTGGCAGGTTCACAAATCGCGTGTATTGTATAAATGGTTTATGATGTTACAGCAACAAACAAACAAAAAAACCTTTCCACACGTGGGTAAAACTTTTGTAATTGTACCTCATAGTTGTATTTAAGAAATATTCGGCACATTAATTATCGACGCCGTAGTAACAAAAGAAAAAATAAGGTGAAAAATGTGAAATTGTGGTTACAGATTAATGCGATGTCCATGACTGTATTGGTACCGCAGTAACTGCCTTCTCACCCAATAAATATCGGTGCCTGGTTTAGCAATTCCTTCATTTGAACCTGATGGCGGGACCCCGGGGTCCCATAAGCCCCCGGCTCTCGCATAAACTACGTTGCGACGTCATTTAATGACTGTTGAAGGCGAACGATACGGCAATCTTTTTCTCTCGACGAGCTCTACACGATGCGCTAATCAAAGTTTTGTTTTTGACTGCGGCATTCGTCCTCGCTGCTGCGATTGGACACGACATAACAATCCGCGCCAGGCGGGTCGCGGCGTTGATGTGCGCGGTGGGACGGAGTCGCCAAAAGAAATAAATTAATTGATATTTTGACTGACGTTTATTTGGGCCCCCCTGGGTCCCGCCATAAGGTTTATCTAGTAAGTCCTTCATTTTCGTGTATCACACCAACTTAAGGGGGGGGGGGGGGTGGGTGGTGGACAGGTCCACGCACGGTCAGTGACGATGCTTAAGTCATCATCGGCTGTGCAGGGCTCTCCTCCAGCAGACAACGCTGGAGCAGACGAGCAAGGCATCGCCTGCTCTTCAAGGAGCAATAACCTATCATCACGTGAACTCCGGTCGTCCTCGCAGCGGCTTTTGGCTCGCCATCGAACAAAGACGGTCACTGCATCGCGCGCCACTTTACAATCATCCAGCTTGAAAACGAATTTCTTTCGAACTGATTTTTGTGTTTGGTTTGTTGTCCTTCCACCGCACATCCCAATTAGCATGGTTGGCTACGTGCAGTGCGAAGGAAGTTCAACGCGCATACGTACAGACACAGTTCGCCTTCTGCTTACTGAGGTTTGTGTAGCAGCAGCAGGCACCTGTACGTAGGCGGGCAGTCATTAAAACAACGAATGGATGTCGAATACAAGATGATGGCAACTTTGAAAATAATTGTCTTTGTTGCGATCAAATTGGAAGAAGAAAAAAACACGGATTGCATTGCCATTACAAACTCACCACATTCGTCATTAGCACTGCGTTGTGAGACAAATATATACAAGTAGAGTCACGTAGAAGGAAAGTAATAAAAATAAACATAAAATAAAAATTCTCACCACGTTTAGGCCACAACACAAGCAGCCGTCCTCGGGTGAAGAAAAAGAGCTGTCGGAAAGACATTGGGACGCTGTCTTTCCGACAGCTCTGTTTCTTCACCTGAGGACGGCTGCTTGTGTTGTGGCCGAAACGTCGTGAGAAATTTTTATTTTATTATGTTTTCTTTTTATTATTTTATTATTTCCTTTCTACGTGACTTTACCGAAAGAACCAAGAAGATGAATCCCTGCAGTCACGAAAGCTTTAAATCCACAAATATATACATGTAGGCTAACATTTGAGACAGTGACCGTTCTTCGAGAGCTATAAATTAAGTTGTGTTCATCGCAGCAAAAAAAGTACCCTACCTATATAGCTCTAAAGAAGTGCCTTTTGCCCGACACGTCCTCCAGCATATGCTGGTCTCTCGCGCACAGTGCTAATAGTGAAGTTGGCGAGATTTAATTTACGGCACTTGCTGCCATTGGCCCGTGTGGTCACCGTTAAGGAGGAGGATTTGGCTCTGCGGTACCAGTCTGCAGTGGGTGTTGCTGTTGGCACCGTGAGGCCAGACGGCATCAGTGTGTGGAGCTGGCCGTGAAGTGACAGGCTTTTACTGTGTTCAGCAGTGCAGTGTTGGTGCACATAGACCCTTACAGACCAACAGGACACCTTGATCATGAGCCGATGTGGTGACACACCAGTGATTATATTTATCAAGCGATTTGAAGATGGATCACTTTGAGATTTATAACAAAAGTCATTGACCTGGTAGGCTGTGAAATGGTCCAAAAAAGGCAAGTGGGTTTGATAAACCATGTATTTGGACGTTTGAGTGTCATCTCTCTGTAGAAGTATGGGTTTTCTCTGGGCTTTCAATATTCTTCCCAGATGAGAAAAAAACATTAATTAGACAAAGCTATCCAAACATCCCAATGCAGAACCGTTGTAAATAAGACTCTCAAGAGTCGATGAGGCTTTCTTGTATGAATGAATAATGATGCTGTTTTGTAATTTTCTTACAAATGCAAGTGTGTGTGCTTACCACACTCATTCTAAATTGACCAACAACAACAAAGGACGATTGTTACTGCTTTGGCATTTGTGCACAGGTCACAAACATTCCACATTTATCAATTACACTGCCCAAGAAGGAAACAATGTAATATTAATAATGACTTGCCACACTTCTCTTGAGATGGCACTTGATTGAAGACACGTTCACTTGACATCAGGCGGAGACCCCCACCGCAACAGCCCCGAGTCTCCCGCGCGTCTCCCTTTTATATACCGACACGAGGCCACGCCCCCCTTCTCGATCATTCTCGCTGACTCTGGAAGCTCGCTCCACCGGCAGACTCCACCGTCCTCTTCCGTCACCTGACCACGCTCCCTTCTCGAACATTCCCGTAGCCACCGGTCCCTTCGTACTCACAGCTGACACCCCTGTCATTACCTCCGGTGGCCACTAGTGCATTCACATTGTAGGCTGACTCCCCTGTCATTACCTCCCGTATGTAGGCGCAATTGTCATTACAAATGTATGTTAATAGTTTCACAAAATAAAATAGTCTCCACTTATTCGCCATCATTGTCAACACTTCTCGATCATTCCCGTAGCCACCGGTCCCTTCTCACTCACAGCTGACACCGCTGTCACTACCTCTCGTGGCCACTAGTCCCCTCCCACCGCATGCAGGCGCTCTTGTCATTACAATAGCACACACAGACACATCTGTGCTATGAAAAAAGGACCACTGCCCGGAACATCACCGATTATATCATCATTAGTAACGCCATAGGCCCGTTGCGCCAACCAGCGTGTTATATCCAACATAAATTTTTGAAAATTGTTGCCGTGTTAGGGTAGTCAAATGGACGGAATACGTTGAGTTGGTGTTATTTGCACCCAATCTGAAGTCGTCGTCCCCCCCCCTTATCCGCGGCGTCGGTGGGGATACAGAAGATGCTCGCCTCGTCGTGTGAATTCTCCAACCGGGGGGGGGGGGGTGGTTAGAGACACTCGGCCGACAAAGATCGCGACGTCAATGGAACGAGCAGAGATGTTCACGCTCAAAAGGAGTGCGTGCGACCACAACATCGGGCAACTCGGTTTTTTTGTTGCATCGCATTTTTTACATGCAGTGCGCGCTCCTTGGTTTCTGTCATCGCGCTGAGCTTGTCATCTCTGTCTCTGTCGACGAACAAATTTATTTTTTACGCAACTTGTCATAACTGAGTTACCATCATCACGCGGGTCGATCAAAAACACAATCTCCGCCGCGGGTCGCGGTACCCATGTGGTCGACCGGAGGCAGGAGGATATAAAGTTATCATGTTTCGTTTCTTCCTCCTGCGTGGTCGGTCGGTCGCTCGTCGCAAAAGCAAAACAAAAAATAAATGTCTGCTGTATTTTGAAAAAAAATGCTCGTCCTCAACGCCTCCTTTGAATTCCGAAAAAACAAACGCAACAGCCATCGTCTGTTCCCCGCTGTGCACATGCGACGTTGGAGCAAACGTTGGTCTTGAATCCAAGATCGACCGAGTAATGGTAAACCCACGCTAACACTTTCAGAATCGGAATGCGTATTTCTACTGGAGGAATCCGATAAGCTATAACGCTCTTTTTTTCACAGATGTCCGGTAGGGGCG